ATCTGCAGCTCCTGTCGGCTGAAAATGTTGTAATAACCTTCCAAACTGTTGCGATTTTAGTTTTGTGTTGCTGACTATTTGAATTGGAGACATTTGATTGTGGTGAGTTAAGGAAAAAGAGAGAGAGACATTACTACTGAATCAGATCCAAAGAGGAGCTAAGTAACGTGGTCTTGCATGAACACATTTTCTGTCACATTAAGAACATTACTGGTTATCTGACATGAGAGATATCTGTGTGTGTGTGCGCGCGTTGTGTTTTGTCTGTGCTGTTCTAGACATATTGAAGTGGATGCGATATTATTTTAGTCTGTTGTTTTAAGCTTCATACTTTTATGAATAAATACTTTTTTTCTAAGTTTAACTTTGATTATTGCTTATGTAGTCACAGATTATACATTTAATGAGAAGTACGTTTTCTCTAACTCTGTAACTTCTTCCTGCAGGTGTCGCCTACATCATAGAACGTCCTGCAGCCAATGGGATCCCTGAGCTGATCTGGATCACTGACGACGACGAAGGCATCCAACAGATCTAAATCTCCCATGATGAAGAAGGGGTGGCGATTCCCTTCCCATTCTTGATGATGATAAACCTGAGGACAAGGCTGTCTGTAGTGATGATGAAGGTGAGGACATTCCTGTGCATGACTGATTAGTTATGACATACACTTACCAAGGCCATCAAAAACACCACAGGCTACAAAAGCAAGAGCGTCCTCATAAGACCACATTAACAGATGAACTTAACACCTTTTCTGCTCGCTTTGATCTCGTCAACAAAGAGTCAGCTGGAAAGTCTACTCCACCTCCAAAGGAGCCGGTCCTCTGCAGATGTGAGGAGTTCTGCTGAATATGAGTAAAGCTGCTGGGCCTGATAACATCCCTCGCCGTGTACTAAAAACCTGTGCCAATCAGCTATTTGATGTTATTACTGACATTTTCAACATCTCACTGTCAGGAGAGGGTTCCCAACTGCTTCAAGACAGCCACCATCATTGCTGTACCTAAAACGTCTGCAGTGTCTAGTCTGAACGACTACCAGCACTTACCGTTATTCTGATGAAGTGCTTTTAGAAACTGGTTCTTCAGCACATAAAGACCAACATCACAGTCAGCCTGGACCCTCCAGTTTGCTTTCAGAACCAAAAGAGCCACAGAGGATGCCATCTCCACTGCCCTCCACAGCTTTCGCACACAGGTGAAGGAAGCAGGTGAACAGTTTCAGGTTCCTGGGAATCAGCATCACAGAGAACCTGACATGGTCATATCACATTTCCACGCTGGTGAAGAAAGCTCAAAAACGCCTGTATTTCTTGAGGAAGCTAAAGTAGGCCAAATTCCTGTGCCAAGTTCTTGTCAACTTTTTCAAGAGGAGCAACACCAACTGGCATGGGATGTACAGTAGTGGGGCAGGACAGCATCAGTGATATTGGTGTGGTAAGTTGCCAGCGCAGAGACCAAAGGATACTAAAGGACAGCTACAGCCTGTTGACCTTGCTGTCTAGCAAGAGATACAGAAGAATCTGCTGCCGCACCACCAGGCTACTGAGCAGCTGCTTTGCCAGGCTGTGAGACTCGTAAATTCATCCTCAGCGCTGCACTATGCAAAATAGTTTTATTATTGTACATAATTTTTTGATACACGCTTTGTAAGTAGCATAAAAGGAACTACGAAATTCATCTCATTAAATAACCCCGTTGTACAATGACAAATAAGTGTACCTTGTAAATAGGAGGGGGGAGAGATACCGGAAGGTGATTGCTAAGAGGCTAAGGTGGTATGATGACAGTGACTCTGATTAGGTTTGTCAGCCGTGTGTGCAGCAGGACTGACAGTCCCTCTGGAAACAGTCAGTTTTTCTTTGTAGCCTTGAGGGAGGATCTTTGCATCTGGCAGGGATGGCAGCGCCGCAGGCGACACTGAGGTGGGAGTCCAACTCACCCTTCATCCTTCTTAGGAGTCGGCAACTGATGGGACCCAGTAAATCCCTTCTCCACTTTTGATCCAGGTCTGTTTACATCTATACCGCCGCCTATTTGTGTTGATGGGAGCCAGTTTTTGATTGAACTGCGCCATGCTGGCCTGAGGTTCAGCGGTCTTCATGCTGATAGAAGGAGCAAGGGATAAAAAAAAGAAAAACTAACCCTGAAATGAATGGACGACCTGTTCCACCACCTGAGCTACTGCCATTTTCATCATGTGGGAAAAAGTACAAGATTCTGACTTGGAAAGAAAGTGACCTACAGTAGTCTGTTATATAAAGACACCGGAGGTAAGTGCTTGAATTCAATAAAATGGACTGACTAAATGTAACATGATCCAGTGTTCCGTGATATCCTTTACCCTTAGTGATGTTGGGTTAACACGAAGCGTCTCAACCACTGAATTCATTGCAGGTGTCTCGGATAAAATGCTTCCAAACAGCTTCTCCTCCAGGAACCGGAGTTATCTGGATAACTTTGTAAAACCCAGAAGAGGTCTTTTTTTATCAGCCCATGCTCCAACATATCTAACAGCTCTGAGGATCCATCAGAGATCAAGGGTTTAACATGATCTCAGTGTGAAGACTGGAAGCACCACAGAATGAATCATACTGAGGGCTTTATTCAGTGCAACAGATATCTGTTACAGCTAGATCACCTTCAGAAGGCAGTTTTCTTTCAATCATACAGACTTTGTAGGAGAAGTGGTCACAGAGCAGAAGAAATATTCTTCTTTTCGTGCATCGCTGATGATCTGGAAAGAGAAGTTTTTCATCTACTGTTTCTATTGATGGTTTCTAACTCCTACATGGAACAACTCTATTGCGCATGTGCGCTTTTTTTAGAGCTCGGTGTCAACCCAGAGCTTAATATATGATGACATGTTTTAATATTACTATACATGAACACAAACATTTTCAACAAGGAGATGATCAGTCCATCAGATATTTAAATTTAACTGAACATCTACAAAATCATGTTTATCTCACTTGAATTGAATAAAGACACCAGAGAAATCATTGTAAAAGCATACGGTTTGGGAGGGTGTGTAAACTTTCATTTCATTACCATTTGAATTTATTTGATGATGATTGAATGAATGAATGATTGAATGAATATACAGGTGCTGGTCATATAATTATCATCAAATATCATCAAAAAGTTGATTTATTTCAGTAATTCCATTCAAAAAGTGAAACTTGTATAATGTATACATTCATTCCACACAGACTAATATATTTCAGGTGTTCATTTCTTTTAATTTTGATGATTATAACTGACAACTAATGAAAACCCTTTAGTTACTACTTTAGTCTCAGGGAATATCTAAGTTTTTCTCTCGTAAATGTGAATTTTTAAATGATTATTGTGAATCAGATTAATGAATGCAAATAAATAAGGCTTTGTGATGACAGTTTTGCTTAGTTTTTCATAGCTAGCACCTCAGCAGATGAATTTACTATGCCACTAAATGCTAAAGACAAACTCCTGTTGTGCCTGACTTGTGAACCAAAAAAACCACAAAACCTTTAGGCCTGCAGTAGTAGGTTTATGCTAAACATGAGAAGAGACACAAATCAACATACATAACATTACCTTAACTAGTGTGGAGAAAAATGTATGTAGCTAAAAGACGTGGAGACAACGGAAAAACATAAATTGAAAAATACATTATTTCCATTAAGTTAATTCACTTTTAAAAGTCATATTCCCATGCCATGATTTAAAACAGCGATACTCAAACGTTTTATTATAAAAAGTGTATTGTGTAAGTGTAAATAGTTTTAACATTTTGTCAATGTGTTACTGTTTAGATGGAAGTATAGTAAAAAATAAATGATTTCCCTTTATCCTGAAACCTCCTCAAGGACCCCTGTTGGTCCCCGGACCGCACATTGAGAACCAATGATTTAGAGGGAACCCATATGTCTACAGTCTAGCAGAAGACAGACTTTGAGGAGCCATGGTTCTGGGAAGATTTAAAGTGTCCGCTGTTCTCAAGGGCAAGGTAATCTCCATCACTGGGAGATTTCACTACATCACCACCAGTAAATGCTGTTGTGTAATAACTTCTTGTTACACAACAACAGCATAATATACAATGGTATGTCTGGTGGTGGAAATCATGCAGACACAGCTTGAAGTTACTTTTTAGTGACAGGGACTGTGAGACAGCAACTTGTAAGAACTTGAAGCTGTTGATGGAATATTCAGGCTACAACACCACAAAACTGGAAACATGCAGATATTTTCTGAAATGTGCTATTCATTCTAATAAACATTTCACATTTGCCATGACCTTTACTCCCACCTTTGATACCGTCTCTTCTTTCAGCTCAACATCTTGTTCCCGTTCAGCCTGCAGCACTGGCCTGAATATCACACATACATACAAGCTGAGGCCATGGCCACCACTATGACTGAACAGATCTTTCAGGGTGCACCACTTTTATTCTTGCCTTATAGATGAGTGACAATACTGCCATCTTCTGTTAAGAAGAAATTTAGTTGAAACTAGGGCAAATTACAGCAACTTTGATCTTGTAGTTATATTATTACAGAAAAAGCATATATTGAAATAAGACATCCCTCCATGTATACCCCATTCAATCCTTTCATCACTTGTTACCTAGTAATTTAGTCAATATGTAGTAGAACATTTCGGTGGCATGTACTATTAGCCATACCTTCTAGGTACATACTTGGTCACCATGTTGTTCAGCTACCTCTCTGACATCATATTCAGTGACCCTGATCTCCTGCTCCACCAGATAATCATACAACACTGGAAGTATTAGCAGCAGCGAATACATTAGAAAGCACCGAAGCTTTCACTACTCAATACTTTGGTCTAGCATTAATTGAAATACTGATTATTATTATAAACATATTGCTGATAATTTATTAATTGAATAATTCAGCTCTAATTGGCAAGTTTTATTATCTCGACACCAGCTGAATGTTCCTCTCCCAAACCTTAAATCATTCAAAATAACTCAAGACATATCACAGCCATTGTTTTTTTTGCAATTTTATTGTTGTTATTATTTTCTTGTTGTCAGATAAAAGCAGATAGAGGAGCATAATGATCAGAAACAGCGTGCAGCTTTGGGGTTCTTGTCCAAAGCCAGACTAGAGAGCTGTCTGAGGTGAGTATACATTAATGATCCAGGGCAAACCCCACCATCATAAATGCTACATAACACTGTCCATATCATAAACAGTCACAATAATGGCTGCTGTCAAGTTTGACAGTTAGCGTGTAACACATTCATGACATGAGTTATTCTGAGGTAAGCTAGAGTTGGCTAGTGTTGTACTTTGCAAATAAACATCTATGTATTGTATATCTATAGTGTTGTGACAGTGTCATTTCCTGTTCCTGTAAGCATAGCTCATCTCTACCTTGGCATAGCTTTGGCATTAGGAGGTAACATGGTAGCACCCTGTTGGGAGGGGGGCATTTGAGAACAAGCATCTTTGTCCATTTCATGAACATTTAGGGAGTAACTCCCAAGGCCTTGGGCCAGTAAATATAGGGGGCTAAGTAATGCAGAGTTTAGGTCAGCTATTCATATATCAAGTTTGACAAATAACAGTTTCTATATAGTGCTAATGTAATTTGAAGGAAAGCACCCACAGATGTGTATATTCTCTGGGTTATGTACATGTCTAGGCCCAAATGCAGGTACAGTCTGCACTGCTCCCCTCTGTCAATTATAGTGAGATCCACTTTGAAGTGCAGCTTTGCAGTCACACAAACTTAAATGAGCTTAAGCTTTAGCTTATTCCAATAGGGAAAAGAGAAGGTGCTTGTAGCATGTAGGCCAACGCATTATGATTTTTGATCACATTGGTTTTAGCGTTCTTTCAAACGTTAAAAATAAAATAATCTGAGTAGACTAATGTAACTAGTCTAGCTTCACTGGCTGAGTTGAGGATTGAGAGATTCTGAAATGAGGATAGACTACAAAAATGATCACAGCAGCATTCAGTATAACAAAGAAGACAGATGACAAAGAGATACTATGATATATTGTCCTAGGCTTGTTTTGCTAATATAAAAAGGTATAAATAACACTTCCTGTTTTGGTTAAACACCGTTAAAGATGAAGAAAATAAAGCTGAAGAAAACAAAGCATATGTTGAGACAACTCTTCAGTCTTGATCCACCATTTTTTGTTACCTGAGATTAAAGTTGTCCCTCAGGGCTTTACGGATTTAATAGCAACAGCACTCATTGATTGATCGACTGATTTAATCAATCGACCGATTGAGGTTAGAGTCTTACGAACCAGATAGAGTCCAACACATTCAAGCGAGCAGAGGGCATTCGAATCACCACTATATCTTTGATACCATACTTTATCCCCACACCCAAATACACCTGACCTGCAGGCTCAGCGTGTTCATGTCACCACAGTCCATCAAACAACCAGTCTTTGAAAAGGCTTAAAAAAGGCATGAAGCAAAGAAAAAACTAAAGGCTTAGCTTAAAATGGGCGAGGTATCCGTTACATAATTCTCCCTCTAAGGAATTTAGGCTTTTTAATACCATCTTGGAATGCACTATATATTGATATATATATTTATATATATATATATATACTGTATATTGCCGTTAATATAAGCAGGATTACTGTTGATAAATACAGTGGCCTCCTTACCATCAGAGGCACCTCAGCGTGTTTCAGCGCATATCTCCCTTTGATTTTTGGGTGCCATAGGCCCCGAAGGCCCTACATGGGTGGAGGAGGAGACACTTATTCTTTTCCTATTTCATCTGATTAAAATTCACATATCATGATCCAAACTCCACCAGCTTTGGTCACTCTTCATCCACAGTCTCCCTTTTTGAGTCCTCCTCTTTCTGATCCAGGACCTGAGGGGTGGGGCTTGGCAGGGCTGCAATCTCTGTAGTGGCCAAAGAGGAGGGGTCTTGTTGGTCAACAATCCTGAGGGATGTCTCTTCCTGAGGAAAAGTATGGATGTATAAGCAAAAGATGTGGAGTCACACTTGGTATCCACTTGATTATATGCCATGTCAGTATAAAGTGGGCCCTTTCTTGCCTGTGTAGCAGCTTGGATTCATCAGTCCTTAATGTCCCCTCCAGCAGTAGTGATTTCAGACAGGTCAGCCTGTTAAAGAAAAATTCTGGTTTATTTCAACCTGGCGTATTTTCCATGAATGTCGTTACTGTGGCTCTATGGGTCGTGCAAACTTTGCGTTCACCGGCTCCATTTTAGAAATCCGAGGAAACGAGAACTTTTGTAAAACAGTGTATATTGGGGCGACTTGTGCTAGCCTCCTACAGCTGTCCAACTAAACATGTTTTAAAGTACAAAGAGTAGCCTCTGTAGTTATGACTAACTGCACAAGGATCTACATCAAGGCTGACCTAACCGCCCTGCAAATCCATCCGTGTTGGTTTGTTTACATGTGTGAAGCTGACTTTCATAACTCACCAGCCTCCACTGGCCCCCCATGGCCTCCCGATTCAAATTCAAGTCACTAATGCCTGCATACAGAGCGACTACTGGGTCTGCACCCATCTACCTAAACTCGCTACCTAATACACGCTTATGTTCCTCCTTGGCCAGGTTATAGAGTTAAATTGAGTTTGTAACTCCCTTTTGCTATGTAGCAGACAATATACATTAATACAGATGCAATTATAAAAATGGTCAACAGAAATAAACTATTAACTATTGTTTGTTATAGTTTGGCATTATTAATGCATTAGACCCAAGATAACTGCTGCTCTTTCTTACGGCATGTTGTCTCTGTTTTGCTAGCAAGTGTGTTAGAATTGAACTAGCTGTAAGCTATGGCAAGCCTAGCACAACTATTTACCTGACACTTTTATCTAAAGCAACTTACATCAGCTTTGTCAATTGTGCTGAACTGCCTCATGTGCTACACTCGTTTGTTTTTTTTAACGGGTCGGTCAAGGTGCAGTCGGAACAGAGTTTTCAGTCTGCGATGGAAGATGTGTGGTTTCTGCTGTTCTGATGTCAGTAGGGAGCTTGCACCAATTGATGGAGTTAGTCATTATGGCTGTTTGAGAGGATACTCTGTGCTTACTTTAAAAATCCTGCTTACCTTGTTTTCCTGAATGTCTACAACAGAGGTGGCAAAGTGAAAATTAGCACAAACCATAGAGTCACACACAATGGCCACATTTATACGCCAGGTTGGAAGATACCGGAATTTACCTTTGAGGCTAGTGAGGCTGCGTGCAAGGCTTTACACACTATGTTAATGTCCTCCGTGCCTGATGTGACCAGCCAAGAGATGGCTCATGTTTCTGCTGCTGATCCAGACTCCCTGCTATTTCTCAATTTGTAGTCAGTGAATCAAACAGCCTCTTATGATCACCTGCCTCTGACTTGGCTGACACACAACATGACATGATGCCAGTGACAACACTGGCAGACACTTTTCAGCACACCTTCACCCGACCGTCAACAGCTAACTGATGACATTTATTATGGATGTATTCTATTTGTGTGTACCAATGCCAGGGTTAGGGCCCTGGTGTTGTGCATGTTGTCTCACTGGCATGGCCTATCAGTACGCCTAAATAGAACTGAGCAGTCACTGTTACACTTGTATTTTCCGCTGTGAGAAAGATACATGAAACATTTTATAACAATAATGTTGAATATTATATTTCCCTTTAAACCCCAGACACTGGCAAGTTTGAAGGACAGTGTTTGTATTTGAGATACTATAGCCATCTGAATGTGTGTGATTGTAAGTGCCAAAGTCACTTAATTGGGGAGTTTTCAACTACAATTAACACATCCAAGGAGTCCTACTAATAGTTGTCTGTTTTCTTTTTTCTTAAGCAACTAGTGAAGCAGCCCCAAGTTGACTTACTTGATCTGAGAATCGGTGAGTCACCTGATCAGCAAACTCTTGCATCTCTCCCTCCTCACCATTTGAGTGGCAGCTTGGACTTGGCACCTCGATTCCATGGCTTTCCAAAATGGCAGCTTCTAGTTGTGTCAGAAAAGTTTAGGTAAGAGATGGAAAAACTGGAAACATATATGTATTTTTACAATACTATTTTTTTTGTCTTCCTTTGTGGTGTAAACAAAATCTCCTACTTCTAAATAAATCATTTAAAAGTCCACGGGGTGTTACAGGTCGCAAAGCAGAAAACAAGGCTTTTTTCTAAGCAACTTGAAAAGTTGATGTTTTGGAGAAGCATGGACAGCGACAATATGCAAGTTATCAGGTCCTCACCGATATTTGCTCTCCTCTTCATCTCCTTCCGACGATTGGCAAACCAGTTGTACACCTTCAATGCTGTCACACGCTCAAATTCAGATAGCTTACAACCTGGGTGATGAAATACACAACATCCCCCACTTAGAGTGCCGGCAAATGTGGCAAAACTACAGGATCTCATTGGAGATAGGATCCTGTCCTGCAGGACCAAATTTGTCATAAAGTTAATATAAGTAACTTTTTAGTTTTAGAAACATCTTATAATCATTTATGATAATAGATTTATTCTGACACTAAACAAATGCCTGGTGCAGCTTTAAAAGGTGAAATAAACCACTCAAAAAAAGATGATATTAAAGTATCAGTTGAGACATTGCAAAAACAGATGCTAGTGAATGTTCTGACTTATCTAAATACAAATGAATGTAGACTTTATATAGAAATTGTGAAGCTGGTTGTCTGATGTTTCCAGTTACACTAAAGCAAAAACAAATACTTGTTTTCTCTAACTCTAATTAAAAAATTGATACGCAAAAGTACTGCATGTGCACAATTTGTTCCACTGAGCCTTCTCTACCGACGGTAACACAGTATCGAATGGTGAATTTTCCACGCTGATACACCCCCTTTACTTATGCAGACTTCTCTGCTTGACAGAGAAACACTTTTACATGTATATACTGTATGTGTTTTAATGTGCTTCACGTTAAATAAGTGGTTGATAAAATAATCTATTTTGTAATAAAATACTATTCATATTAAGGCTGCATATATGTCTCCCATCAATTAAACACCCCCTAAAAATAAAAAAAAAATAAAATCCAAAAGTCCCAGGTCACATGCAAAACCCAGAAAAGTATCATTTAGAATGATATGAAGTAAAGAAATCGTAGCAAGTCTGTTTAAGAAGCTGGAAACAACAGATTTTTTGATAAATGATCAATCATTAAATTAATTAGATTAATCAATTAATCTTTTCACAACAAATTGAAATTAAAAAAGTATGCAAAATGACATTTTAAGCAAGAGTGGAGACAGACAGGTATCGAGGCCTGTTCCTGTCTGAAATGTCTTTGTGCAGCTTTTCAAAATGTCTTTACAGTTACAAAAGCCTCTTAGCACCTGGTTTCTGAATGACAGAGTTACAGGCGTTGGCGATCTCCTCTCGCTTCCCTTCATCTGGGTACTGGTTCTCCATGAAGAAACTGGAAGAGACAAATACCCACTGCATTGGAAACAGTCAAATCACATTGCATCACAGACTACACACTTACTAGAAGCCGTGCTAGTTACGCCCTTCGAGTAAGGACAATATTTATACACTGGAAGAACACCAGGAGAGGGCCTCACTGTAAAGGAATAGATTAATGGATACATTAAAGGGGATTCACTTATTTTCCTAGGCTTATAAATGTAAAGATTGTTTGGAAAAAACTCAGATGTATATATCCAGGTAACTTTTCCATCACTCATATCTAGCTTCTTTACATCCCTCCAAGGCCGAAAAAGAATCCTTATCTCACATTACAAAACACACAGGGATCAATATCTTCCAGCCCTCTCTTCCTCTCACCCTCTGAGCTGCCCTATCCACTCTGTCTCCCACACACACACCCACACACACACACACACTCCACATCATCTTCACCTCTGCTGTATCGTCCTTGGGTCTAAACTAGCTCATAAGGATCAGCACTGCAGTAGAATTGCGTAATCCGGGGGCACTGCTGGTGAGTGTTGTCTGAGGGCCTGTGTGGTCTTATTACTGTGAGTGCCCAGACTGCACCCTATACTTACAGCAACTATGTAATAGAGAAATCAATTGCACACAGCAGGTAGGTCTGTAGAGGAATGCCTACTCTTCTTTCTCTGCATCCTTCGGAGTTACTGAGAAGATTGTCTGGGACAAATATGTTACAGAGAATTGACTAAATGACTAATACACCTAATGAAAAACAGCATAATAAACCGGATGGTGATCAGAGTTTTTTTCCTGCATAGAGGTGGTCCGTAAAAAATTTGTTCAGCCTCCATCTCTTGACAAAACTCAGGCGGGTGTCCTCATGGTAAACTGTTTTCTGGCAAGCGTTGCATTTTGGGGATTTCTGTCATTTGTAACTGCAGTTGAGGCATCACGCTGATGTGATGACGCTGTGACGTAATCAGGACAGTGCGCCGGGAAAGACGCTGTCAAAACTTCCAGAGAGGAAGAAAACAGACTGATTATACAGTGACTACAAAGCCAGAGTGAGTTTGTTTACGCCGCAGACATGTCAGGAAATAAGGTTTTCATTTTTACCTTACTGAACACAAACGTTCAATAGCTCCACCTGAGAACATGACCCATAAAACCAAATAATTTAAATGATTATATGAAGTTTTTCAATAAAATCACTTATTAATAAATCACTTGTTCCTTCCTTTTGGTCAATGGGCTGTAACGTTAGCTTCTGGTTTTACTTCGGTTCTCCATGCAGCACCAAACACTTGCTCACCTCTCCATGATCGATTGGCACTCCTTCCTCCAGGTGAACCTGCTTCCTCTACGCAGCCTCAGAGGCCCGCCCACCATCCCTGCTCTGTCGCCAGCCATGATCCCTGTCCTCCAATCAGGTTCCTCTTTCACTAAAGACCGCATTGAGAGGGTGGCCCCTGAAAAGGCAAACACATGCAACACATTAACTGTTGAGAGTTTATGTAAACAAAGACAGTGATCGCGCAGCAGCTGTTAGGTTGCCAGTATTCAAAACACTGTCAATCGTTTCTGTTGTACTTTTATTTACTAATGTGGAGATGGCTGTATCACACATAAATATGGACATTAATAATAAAAACATTAGCAAAAGTCTGTGATAAACTACAATCTTGGCCGAAACGTCTACTTAAAACTCCTTAACAGTTAGAATCAACCACATGGTGCCAGTGGCAATTCCCACTTCAAGTGAATGCAGCATAAAAATCACACTTGTGTCATCGTCTATTCCAAGTAACTGTGCAACACAATACGAAGCATTCATGTCTGTTTCATCATTAATATAAATGGCTGCAGTCGGTCATAGAAAATGATCCTCTGGCTCTATTAACAACGCCATGGTAACAGTTATTAAGGACTGGCTTACATCTGTTGGGGAGCAGGACATTTAAGTTCTGCCTTAACTCCACAGTGTAACTAACTTGTATCAGGGGGTCAGCAGAGTTCATTAAGTTAAATTTAAAGCTGGGTAGGGCACATTGGAGAAACTAGCAAGAGAGTAGTTTGCAACAACAACAAAAAATAAAAATCACACCCCATCCCTTTATTCAGACTGAATGAAATGATTGGCTGTGCTTATTACGGTTCTGCGACAGCCAGATACCAGATATGTTTTCATTTTCATGTCAGAGTATCTGATTTATTGATTGATGTAAAGAGAATTTCAACACATATAACAAACAATGCTTCTGACACAGACAGCCTATCTTAGCTTTTTTAAATACCACATTCAATACAACTGAATACACAGTCATACCAAAGCATGAAGGTATGGTGGAAAACTGGCAGGGATGATATGGCCTAGAATGATTTATTCTCATATCACATTATTTTTCAATACTTCCCAGCAGTATATACGAATATTCCTAATGATGAGCTAATTTAAATCATCAACATTTGTTCACCATGAGGTGATGAGGAGTGACGGTGTTTGCAACAGGTTTGATGCTGGTGACTGAAACTCCACAGGAAAAGGATGCAACAGCTTCCTGGAGGCACAGTTCAGTGTCGCAACAGTCCTACTTTTAGTTTATGTGTATAACATCTGCATCTGGATACAGAAAAACAAAAGAAAGAAAGTCATTTAAGACTTTTTAAAACATTCTAAGACCTGCAGATAACCTGTTGTATGGTGCACCTGGTTTTTAGTAAGTTTTACAGCCAACCATTACTATACATTCAAACTAAGCTACATCTGAACCTAGCTGGTGCGACAATCTAATGATACTGTGGCAAAGTCACAGAAGGATTTCAATAGCATGGATGGGAACAATCCTCTAGTTTAGCTCTGCCATTTCAGGCTGCTGAAATGCCTCGCAGGCTGACAAAGTAGATATGGGGTAAATGGCATGCTGGCCAGCTGATGTGCAGGCGTCTCCTGTGGCACGCTGCTCAGGCCGGGGCAGGGAGGGCGCGGTTACCTGGCTGGGCCTGGGCGGCTGCAGCAGCGGCAGTGTACCACGGCAGCAAGTGCATCAGCAGCTCTCTCTGCCTGCTCCACACTGGGTTGGGGTTGAGGTTGGTGTTTGGGTTGGGGAGGCTGCCACTTGCCCCTGCTACCGTCCCGTCTCTGTCCCCTCCCCTGGCCCTGGACATGGGACTCACGCTGTGCTGGCTTTCACTCCACCTCAGCCCTTCAGTCAGGACAAAACCAATGGTCAGGCAGGCCCTCAGCCAGGGATTCCATTATTGACACCAGAGTTAACTGGTTTACCTGACACACTCCTGTAGACATGCCTGGCAGTTTTCAGTCATAATAAATTTAAAAACAAATGACTGCTTTACAATTTATTCCATTGTATCCGCAAATTAACACTGCTACATTTTTAGATTGATGTTGGCAGGTCAGTAGGAGCCTATATTAGAAGCAAAGCGTTGTGGCCACTGAGGAAATTAGTTATTGTTAGTATCACTGTTAATAACCTGTTTGTTAGCCATGTAGGAATGAAAACCAGCACCAGAGTACCTCCAGCAACAGGGCTGAGAACTACACAGGGGCTAAGGCAAAGCTTGGGTGGGTGGGGGGAAAAATAAAGGATTAAGATGAAGGGAGACAGCAGGGTCAGCAGATGGTCCATCGACGGCTTTGTTTGTTTCATAAAAAAACTGATCAAAGCAGAAATGTGAACTTTTTGACATGATTTACTGTGAATGCTGCTGTCTGACACAAACCAACCAATTGTTTTAATATCTGTATCCCTGTATCCTAGGACATGGAGAGGTCAGCACCAAGCCAGGCTGTTACTCTAGCCTGTACAGACAAACGTTTCATTTCCAAACCAGAAGCCTTAATATTATTGATTAGCATCTCCTGTGACAGGACTACCTTTATCATTTGTCTTTCCTCTGAAATTATAGATTTGTCTCGTGTCCTTCCTTGACCTCGCAGCCCTCGAGGACCAGGGTGGAGTTAGAGTGAGGAATTAAGAGGTGTGCCAGTTTACCATGCAGGAGGATGGAGGAGAACAGATGCAAAGGGGAAGGTTAGCAAGCAGTGGGTCACATTCACATAACACGCACATTATTATCTCTTGTTTTATACAAGCCTTCCTTCATGCATTCTCTAATCTATAATCTATTATCATCGACCTGACATTCACCCTCGGGCCGCTGATCTGCACATTCTCATAATTAGTCTTCCTGTGTCCAACATCAGTCATCCCTGTAATGGTCTGTAATGCTCCTCTGCTCTGGAACAGTCACCTTCAAAACTGGATCTAAAACACAGCCCTTGTATTTCCTGTCTTAGCCCCTACAATCCTCAACCTGCCCCCGGGTCTCACCTGGGTTATTTCTCTCCAGCAGGTACCAGCGGTAGAAAGCTCTGCGCTTGGAGTCGCTCATCTCCAGGCCTTGCTGCAGCAACCACTGCGAGATGTAACTCTGGCTGATGCCTGTGTGCCAGAGGCAAGGCTTGTTAACTTAACACATTAAAGACATTGATTCATTTCATGGTGCACCAATAGCATCTGTACTACTGAGATCGGCTGCGGGCCAGCTCTGAAATACTCCTATTAAGCTAATGAAGCCATCCCAATATGAATACTTTAATTACAGACATGCGATTTGAATACTTTTACTGGGGTCCAGCCTTGTAGAGTTATAGCTCTACCCAAAAGCCCTGTAACATGCTTTATATCCAATTCACTAAATAACAGGGTGGTTGGGTTGTTGTACTAAACACTGTACCATGCGTTGTATAATGTGGCACGTTGTATCACTTGTGTTATAAAAATAATATTTTTATTATTATTGTTTCATCTGTCAGTTTCCAGAACCCAATGTGACATTTTAAAATTGCTGTTGTTCAAGAGAGACTTTCAATATAAAATGATATAAAAACTGAGAAAATCAGCAAATTGTCACTTTTGAGAAGCTGGAAGCAGCAAATGTGTGATTGGCAAGGCACTTTTGCCTAAAGATGACTTGAACAATAAATCAATTATCAAAATTGTTGGCCACAATTCTGAATGGATTTACAAATTACAAAAATTGATTCTTGTACATCCTTCTTTTGGAGGTATTTTGAATTCCATAACGGGCTTAGCAAGACGGGGGTGAAGTATTCTGCGATCTGCCATCAGCCGGAGGCTATCGTCAGCGAGGTGAAGCACTGAACTCCCAGCAACCAACACGCACTGAACCATTTTACTAAACTTCAGCCAACTCTGATGAGATGAAGAAAATGACCGTGCCTGTAAAGCACTGCAGAGAACGACGGGTGTCTCTGGGGAGCGCGGCTGAGTCTATATCCCCTACAAACATCTGTTTCTACAGAAGAATCTAGACACTCAGCTGGTGTTGGTCAGTAAATTACACATTCACTTCATTATTTTCATATGTGCAGAAGACTGGAACATATTTCTGCAGTGTAAAATTTTTAATTAAGTTGCATCTTCCCACATACTTTCCACTTGCTTTTGTCTGTTTGCTCAGAGTATGAACTTCATCACAGCCAGTTTTATTTCATATTGCAATTTAGTGGACACAAGTGAATGGTTTGGCACAGGAGTAAGGTCCTGAAAATCACCCATTTTCTACGTATTGAATCAAGAATCAATGTTGTATCTTGTTTGAATTAAATTGTGACATGAAGGATCAAATTCAAACCAATCATGAGATTCTCTATTTATAACTGCCCACTTCTGGCATGTGATATGTACCCTCTGGCTGTTTAATAAGCTGTAATAACTTTGGTATGAGCATCACAGACAAAGCAGCAAAGTACCTGTAACTTGGCCCACGATTGCCTGAGAGATCCTGCGATTGTTGAGGAAGGTTTTGATCTCTTCTTTCACCAGGTTGCTGTCTCTCCTGTAAAAGCAACACAATCCCATCATGGCAATAGAACTGTTACACTGTAGTTAACAGACCAGCCTATGCTCTGACTAACCTTATTCACTGGTGCTTCTCTTTTCTCAGCCATCCCTAAACACCTGACCTGAATTAACTCCACTAAAATTCTGAAGAACAAGCCTGCATCTCTGGGGACAGTAGCTGTCATTATCTGATGTTATAATAGTCTCTCTTTGTCTTTGCCATTCTTTTGGTCTCCCTTTCCAACTCATCCTCACCCAGCTCTCTGATAACACTAAGCTCCACCACCCTCCCTGCTCACCGCATGTACTCCTCCACCTTCTCCTCCAGGTCCCACTCTTCCTCTCCCATCATGTCGTAGCTGAATGACCGCTGGACCACCACACTGGGGGGGTAGAGGGGCGGAGGCGAAGCCTCGTAGCTATTGCTGGGGGACAGAGCGGCGCCGTCCAGACCGGAGGTCTGCGTGGTAGCAGAGGCTAGTGAGAGTGAAGAGGAAGAGGAGGATGAAGATGAGGACGGGGCTGGAGCGGCTGTGGTTGGGGTGTTGTTGGACGGGGCGGGGTGAGAGTCACAGTGAGACGGGCGGTGGTCCGGGTCAAGCCTCTCCAGGGACTCCAAAGCGTGGATGATCTGAGGTTTGGTCATGCCGGAGAGACGCAGGCGCTGCAGCAGGTCGATCTGTTCGATGGTGTAGCGTGGCTCCACCTCACAGCACTCCATTCTGGCATCTGCACACACAATGTGGGGGTGTGCGTTTTATGAAAGAGAATTTGAGACTGGCATTTTGCATGAAATACAAGACCAATTTTGTAAGTGAATATGAACCAACTGTAGCCCTATTAATACACCAAAGGTCTGCATGCTTAGGTTGATTTCTCACAACATAATCAGCACCCCTAGACTTCACAAAGTGTTACCCAGGACAGCTATATTTATCTCTACTCAGCACCTTTGATAGCCCTTAAATTTAGATAATATGTCACAAACTTTTTCAGAACCTGCAGACAAACTGATAAATGCTAAAAGGATTATTAATAGATAAAAACAATGAAAAAATGAAATAAAAACACACGCACAGCTGAATTCAAACACTACACGTCCTCTGTTGGGGTTCATTTATCTTGAATACACTTTAAATGCAAATCTGACTAAACGATTTTAGTTATGTTAATACCAAATAACAGAGTAAGTGCAAGACTGCAAAAACAGACTGCATTCTCCTCTAAGGAACCCTTGGGTCATTCAAAACTCTGGCACCTTTTCAAACACTTGGCACAGGCACTTAGGGGCTAACCTTGCTCTATTTGTCCAGGGAGGAATTAAAGTAAGATCACCCAGGCATACATAACCTAACATCAAGTCCACTCAGCCTAGTCATATCCACCAATCCATTCTTTCACTTTCTATACCTGCCTGTCCTGTGCAGGATCATAGGAAGCCTTGCCATAGCATTCTCCATTAAACTGTTCAGACTACTGTGTGAAGATCACAATAAACTCTTTTGAAAATTTCTAGCAAAATGACATGGCCGTGTTTACTTAAAAAGGTTGGCAGCGGGGACAACATATATCTTACAAATCTTTTGACGCCACTCTTCAACTCTGCAAAGAAAGGTTTTACACATCAGTACGTCCACCACAATATACAGAGGTGAACTAATAACAAGCAGAGCCAAACTACCTTTAAAGATCCTTTTAAGATCCTGTTAAATGGGATTATGCCGAATTTACCAGAAAGGCACGACGATTTTTAAGATGCCTCAAGTCCAATACTGTCACGTGTGTAACTTTTGTTGATAAACTGGACAAAGTTGCCTGATATTTTCCCCCAAGGAGTTTGGTTTCAAACGGTGTGTTTTTACAGGACAGACTGGCGCCTATCAGAGATTCAGTAAATAAATTTTTTTTAAACCATACTAGTATTCTGTGCAAAACTAAAAGATTCAGAACTAAGCAGCAAGCCTGGCTTAAAAACTAAGTTAAGCCGTGTCCGGTCACCGAGGTCTTACCTGATGGAGGGGGCGACACAGACAGGCGCCCCGGGAGTGGTTCGGTGCGAGGGGTCGCAGCGGGGACACACCACTGTCGCATGGCTCCGCGGAGTTCAGCTCGGCTGGACCTCTACAGAGTCAGACAGGATACTTGCTGCAGTGTGTTGCGGTTACGCTGCCTCTATTAGCATGTTGGCAAACTTACAACAGCAGATGACTCGCTAACAGGCTGTTTGCTAAGCTAACACGGTCAACTCTGGTTGGCTCCCCTGAGCGCCAGCCTCCCATCGATGGCCGCTTTGCTACCTTGTTGTGTCAAGGTAGCCAGTACACAAACAGAAAGCGGAAGTATGGCAGTGTAACCTTCAGAATAAACGCATGTCGCGGCATCCTACAAACAGTGCCACATTTTTTTTTAAGTTGTATGGCTTCACTAATAATAGTAACATAAACTAAAAATGTCCTCTCCTTGCCTCAAATATGAATATGAATTCACCTACAGATAGAAAGTCACTGACTTGAAGTCTTATCGTTACAGAAGGTGAGCTGGAGCCACCACACAGTCCCTAAATGCATAGAGGTGTATACTAGGCTAAATGTTATACGTACTTTGCCATATGTTTAACAGTCAATGTTAAACAGTTATTCCAACAAGCTAATTAAATAACATTAATTTTACTTCTTTATCCTCCCGTTTCTGAAATAAATAACCCATGTGCACAAATTGAGGTTTTATTTTGAAGGACGAAGGAAACATTCCTATTGAGTCTTGTCAACTAGACACTACAGTCGGTCTTGGCTAATAACTTATCTAAAACTTGCACTTTGGAGATTACGTTGACAGCATTTCAGATGGGCTGCTATGTACGAAACCTTTACGGTCATACGAGGCTTCAAACAAACATTTGGTGTGATAAGTCGAGCGGCTGGGACGCAGCCAGTTGCTAGCTCGCTAGCTAGCTAAGTTAGCTGAGAGCTAGCGCCGGATTGTCCCACCGCGGAGCACCTCGCTCTTACCTCCCGTTGCCGTGGAGAGATAGCAGCAGCCGGATGGACGGAGAGCGAAGATAGTGGAAACTGTAGAAAGTGGCGGTCCACCCGACCCCACTAAAGAAATGAACTCCTTGTTCCGGAGCGGACGGTGGCTTAATGAGCAGAGGTTGAACGGTGCAGGGTCATATTGTCTTACAGCTATGCAGTGGGGAAATAGTGTATGCAAATGTGGGGAGTCTCTTTCAATTTATGACCCCTCGCCCGATACCACAGTCAAGCTGGCAGGAATTATAATTTTGATTTCCGGTTTTACTGTACCTACAAAAAATACCAAAGCTAAATTTAAACACTGGTGAAAGTGGTGAAAAGTCAAATGAAAGCCAAGGCTATATTTAACAAAATCATTTGGAAATTAAAATACAAACAATGCCCATATGTGTCTCTATTTTACGGCGCATTAGGGGGGACTATTTTTTTTCCCAACAATTAAATTGTTTGTCCCTTTATTTTGTTTAGCTCTAGAACAACTTGTCACTAAATCTGTCCACCTTGACGCAGCACCACCCAACATAAGGGCGTTTGTCTGCAGACACGCTATAAGCTGCCTTTCTCATTTGCAGGCATTTACTGAAGAATTATAAGACAAGGGCACAAAAACAATAATTATAATGATGACAATAATATTAATAATAATGGAAAAAACAACAACAAAATACCTTCAGTTTTCCAATCTAGCAGTCTGTTTTTTGGACCAAACAAATCCCATAGCCCCCACATTGGATGAGATGCTGTGTGATTGCTCAGGAATCCCTCACAATTGTCTCCTTTTCACCAAAACGCAGTGGACATGTCTTGTTGATTGATTGATTGTAATGAAACTACTCATGAAGCAAAATCAATGTAGCTGTCTAAAAACAATTGTTTCCATTAACCATCCAAATCATTCAAAGCTGCGGACTCCTAATTTAAAGGGTTGTTAGTATTGCTGGAACCACTGAGAATCAACATGCAGCACAATGAGGCAGTCTGTGTCTTGAAGCTTTCTTGTTTGAACAAGACACTTGAATTGTATATTTTAGAGAAGAAGAGCTTGCAAGGAAGACTTCCACACACTGTCTAACTTGCAAAAAGTACTGCAAAAAGTGCACTTGGTATTACCCTATCTTGTAAGTCATGTACACAGACAAAACCTATAATCCAACAATAATCCAAACTTGGCTTTATTTCTCAACTCCACACAGCTGGCCAATCACAGCATCAAGTTGGTGTCGAATTTCCAATTACAGAAACATACAGAAATTGTCAATGGCAGCTAACGTTTCCCATTCACATTTTTTCCATCTATGGTGTTGAATAGAAAATGCCTTCTCCCATTACTTTTCAGATGATTTGATGTCACATTTTCCGCCCAGCGCCGCTTGCCAGCTTTCTCCATTTTGCGTTGACAAAGAGAAAAACAATCACCTAGAGTGGGCAGCAGGGGCACTGGATTGGATGGACTTCAGGAATGCAGCCTACTGGAGTGCTATGTAGGCTACTCTAATATATGGCCGGCTTTGCTTTCTTCCCATGTTCTAACAGTAGTCCGAATCTTTTATAAAAAGTGACAGCTCTGTTGTGTGCCAGCCAAAACCTTGGCACATTTTCCTTGTCCCTGCAGCTGCTTGTGGCTTTTCATTCCCTGAAGGGTACTCCTTTATTTTAACATCAAGCCGGGTAATATCATTGTTGATAAGTGAGAGAACCAGCCTTTTAAAGTAAAATGAATTCATTCTGCTTAGCCTCTGAAGTCTACAGTGGGATGAGCATACAACCTGTTTCGACCAGGTGAACGGTACAGCACCTGTTCAAGTGTTTGGAGTTTTGTGATGTTATAGTGCTCCAGTGTTTGAATAGTGTCATGTCTGATGTTTTCTTTGTCCCCAAAGTTTGGCAACATTTCTTAAGTTTAGCTCTGAGGGCTCTGGAGGTTACCTTAGGCCTCCCTCTTTCCAAGGCTGAAGACACAGAAGCCTCATATATCATTGTATTATTGTACCTCGTAGACAGCCTGTTTGCTGGAGAGAGTGAATATCAACTGCTAGGTAATCTAATATACCTAGATTTGATTGTCCAGCTTCACACAGACAGCTACAGGCCAAACCATATACAGTCTATTGTCCAAACCTGTGGGAATACTTAATTCTGGCTGATGTGGTTTTATATATTGTCTTTCCAGATATGATCTGTTTTAGAGATGATGGGCCATGCCGCAGACCCCCTCAATGCTGGACGATGTATAAAAAACTTCATGGAGAAGCAGCACTCTGAGAGTGCAAACTGGACCCCGAAGTTATCGTTGCTCCATCTTAGAAAAAGTAGAATAAATTAGTATAGTAGTAATATGTGCTACATGGAGCTGTGCAGCTGCATCAATGACCTCAAAAAGCCAGTAGTTTTTGACGGTATTGTGTAACGATGGAATTAATATCAATTGTTTGCACAAACAAAATCTTACAGAGCTTTAGAGATTGGTTGATCTTTTTTCCTATCTTTGGACTGAGCCAGGCTAGGTGTTTAACCCTGCTTCCAGTCTTTATGCTAAGCTGTGTTTCCCTGGCTGCAGCTTCATATTTAACAGACAAATATGAGAGTGGTATTGATCAATCTATCTAACCCTCAACAAGAATGTAAATATGGGTATTTCCCAAAATGTCAAACTATTTCTTTAAATGTCTTTTACTGAACATAGAGTCAATTTTAAACAGCACTTGGCTTATGTGTGAATAAGTATCTAGCAAGCTCTCCGCCTCTCTCTGTCTCTGTCCTGATGGTTAATCAAGGTGTTTGCTATTGCCAACTCAACTAGTGACTGTAGCAGAAGAATGAGTCTGTGTTTGCTTTGTTCAGTTTTCTTCCCTCCCCTTCAACCTGTGCCAAGAAGGCAGCAGTAAGTAGTACTATATGAAAGAGCCTCTGTACCTGATTTGCTCAGTTCAGTTTGTGTCCGAGTCATCTGTATTTGAGCACTCAGCAGAGTGTGTGCTACATTTTCGGGTATTTGTGGCCTCTTTTTCTTCAAGGTGGTCCAACCTAACATCTGAAGTAACACCATGAACTGGGCCTTCCTTGAGGGCCTCCTCAGCGGGGTGAACAAATACTCCACAGCGTTCGGTCGCATCTGGCTCGCCATCGTTTTCATCTTCCGGCTCTTGGTCTTCCTGGTGGCTTGCGAGAAGGTCTGGGGTGACGAGCAAAAGGACTTTGATTGCAACACCCGGCAGCCTGGTTGTCACAATGTCTGCTACGACCACTACTTCCCCATCTCCTACACCCGACTCTGGGCTCTGCAGCTGATCTTTGTCACCTGCCCGTCCCTTCTTGTGACGCTCCACGTGTCCTACCGAAAAGAACGTGAGCGCAAACATCAACTGAAGCACGGGGGAAACTGTACCCCTCTGTACGATGACACAGGGAAGAAGCGAGGGGGTCTTTGGTGGACCTACTTTTTTAGCCTGCTGTTTAAGATAACGGTGGATGCTGTGTTTGTCTTCCTGCTGTTCTACATCTACGAGGCCACTTTCTTCCCACCGTTGGTGAAATGCAACGAAGAGCCATGTCCCAATGTGGTGGACTGCTACATTGCCAGGTAAGGGTACCTCCAAAGTTTCTAAATTGTTGCTGGAATTTCAATGGCTGAACTTGGCCCCTGACCTCCACTTGTAAAGCTAATTTCGCTAAAGGAATCAATGAATCAATCAATTCATCTTACACTGTCTGTCTGATCTTTGATCATGTTTTCTCTTTAGGCCCACAGAGAAGAAAATATTCACCATCTTCATGGTGGTAACCAGCTTTGTGTGCATCTTCCTCTCTCTTTGCGAGATCTGCTACCTGTGTGGGAAGAGGTTCTGGGAGTGCTGCAGAGGAAGACCTCGATATGCTAGAGAAAGCTCCTTCATGATGACCAGAACTCCTCTGACTGGGAAGCAGAACTCGGTGTACAAAGAGCCTGTCCTGGAGAAGGCCAGCGTGGTTGACAATGGAGAAGTCGGCAAAGAGAGTTCAGCCCCAGCGTACAGCATAGCAGTCTCCTGAGAGACACGCATCATGTTAATGAGTTTGAGACTAGAACTAGAAAGTATAAACTATGTTAGGTGGCTTTTGTACTGTTGAACGATGAGTGGTTTTTAAGAAAATGTTGTTTACAGACATCATGTCTTCTTTAAAAATATCAAAATGATGTAACGTTTTTGTCCCTTAATATTGTTAAGCTGACCATCTGTGTATTCTTTTTAGAGGCTTGTGATCTAAAATAACCGATATACACTAAAGTTGATTTACTGCATTTTGACTATTTATATGATTATTTGTTACATGAGATTATTTTGTTATCTATATGGCCACAAAATAAAATTGCTTTACTGAGTTGCGAGTGTATTTGTTTAACACAAACTGGATCTGAGCACACATATTGTCAAATATTTAACAGAGAAATAAAGAGTTGGGTTTTCTAAAATGAAATCCTATGAAATTTGCTTTACCACATATTCCTCTTTTATCCCAGTAAGAAACGTTTTGGAAATCGTACATGTAGTTAATAAACTGATTACCTGCATATCATTCAGGTCATTCATTTCAAACGAGAGGCAAACATCTTTAAGGAGCCATCAACATGCAAGGTAGACACAAATTGGTGCAGTGGTATAGAGTAAATTAGACCAATAGAGATTTAAATGGTGGATGAAAACATGTTCAAAAATAATCAGTAAAACCACAACATGACGTGACAAAGCGTCACAGGTAAAAAAAAATTATCTATGCATGTTTACTGATGGGAGTAGCATTATTGACAAAAGTTGATACAATCACCACACCTACACTAAGTTTCAGACCGCCTCAATGACACTTAACCACATCCTGCATTCCTTCAAAAGTCAGAGAGTAGATATGTAAAGAAAATTATCATAAAACTGTGTGTAGTAATAAGGCAGGGGCTGCAGCACAGTCGTACCTGAGAAAATTAACAGGCAAACTTTTTTATATCTGATTTTGCGATATCACAGCCCCATATCTCAGGTGCATTTTAGTGTCATTGGTTCCAGCGTTCTTGCACAAACAAATGTTAGGTGGTGGCCCTGTTTAATCCTGATTAATCAAAGGCTACAAAAGGCGCAGTTGCCTAATGGAGCTGATACCAAGTCACCCTTTAAGGATAGTGGGGATCAGAGTAGACAACATGAGGTGTGCTGAGGTGTCTTTTCCTGGTCTTTCTTGGGTTTGTGCTGTATTCACCAGCTTCAGTGAGGGAACCCCATCACAATACAAGTGCCTTAGTAAAAGTGAGTTAAAGATAAATTGATGCTGACAAGGAGTGGTTGGAGATTTTAAGGTCAATTCTGGGTGGATTCTGGGTGGACGCCAAAAGTGGCCACACCTCCAGATTATGACGAAGAGCTGATTCTTGAACACAGTCAATATCAGAAACCTACTTCAGGAAAGAGGTTTCCCAAAACCTGCTGAACGTATTCGCAAAGTCTTTTTCCCAGACGGGACACGATGGACTGAGTGGTAGACCTGTTTTCTTATGGTAAGCCAAGACATTTTTGTCATGATTGTGCAATTGTATATCTTCATATTCTGTTTTAAGACTTCCTGCAAAGCAAAATCCAGTACATGTCAATTAAGGTTAGAACTCAATGTGGATTATAACTTTTGGCAGGCAGGATGAGAGAACATTTTACCAACTCAAGTGTACAAGGCTCAAACCAAGTGTTCCTCTGCACCATGGAAGGTTCTATGGGTTAAACAATTGTTACATCAGTTATTAAAGGCATCTTTCTTGGGTCAAACTTGATGTTTGAGAGGGAATTAAGGTTTCAGAAAAATATACAGTGAATCGTTTGGAACAGATTACAGAATATTTTACTAAATCTAAGCTGATTTTATATATATTATTATTTCACTCTTTAAAGACCATGTATTTCTTTGTATAACTCCATCTTTGTCTCTTTATTGTGTTCTAGTTCCCCAGTTTTTAAAGTCCCCCCTACATTGCGACACAGACTTCTGAAGACTCACAGGTCAAAAGAAGCCAATCAAAGCTGATCTCATGGATTGGAAGTTTCTCCAGGGTCTTCTCAGTGGGGTCAACAAGTACTCCACTGCCTTCGGACGTATCTGGCTATCAGTGGTCTTCGTCTTCCGGGTGCTGGTCTTTGTGGTGGCCGCCGAGCGGGTCTGGAGCGACGACCAGGGACACTTCGACTGCAACACCCGCCAGCCGGGTTGCACCAACATCTGCTACGATTACTACTTCCCCGTCTCCCACATTCGCCTCTGGGCTCTCCAGCTCATCTTCGTCACCTGCCCTACCTTCATGGTGGTGCTGCATGTGGCGTACAGGCAAGAGAGAGAACGCAAGTACCAAGTCAAGCATGGCGGCGAGGGCACTCACCTGTACGATAACCCAGGCCAAAAGCATGGCGGCCTGTGGTGGACTTACCTCATGAGCCTCTTCATGAAGACCGCCTTTGAGATCACTTTTCTGTACTTGCTCCACTACATCTACGACAGCTTCAAGCTTCCCAGGAAGGTCCAGTGTGATGTCAAACCCTGTCCTAATTTGGTGGACTGCTACATATCCCGGCCCACCGAGAAGACCGTTTTCACCTACTTCATGGTGGGGGCGTCCGTCGTGTGTGTGGTGCTCAACATCTGTGAGATTTTCTATCTGATTGCTTCCCGGATGGTGAATCTCAAACATCGAGGCAGCATCCACACCTTGTCTAGAAAGGTCCATCCTGAGGCGGACTGTGATGGCTGCAAGTCGTCTCTTAGATCATAGTAGTGAATTACCTGTGTAGAGAATCAATATTTCTATGCCTCTTATTGCCTCTAATTGATTTACAATAGGATGATCCTTTTTCCATTTGTCGATATTTTAAAAAGCAATTTTATATCTAATTTTATATGTAATATAAATATATTTTATTTTGACACAAACAATCCTGTGCTTTATAATGATATTATAATTGTTTTTTTCTCCACAAATTTAATAAATATTTCAGCACCAAAAGAAAGTTGAATGATTTTGGCTGCCATACATCATGAAGTAATTGATCATTAAGAACTGAAGGACTGCTCACATTTGTTTTTGACAGCATTTTTTGTATTCCCTAAAAAAGATTGTCAAAGCACTGATAATAAAGATTTTCTTTTTCAAACCACCGCAAATGCACGTTCATGTACCTCCTGTTTTAATGCGTTAATGGTGCAAGTTCTCCACCTGGTGGCGCTAAAGGTATACTACATGTGGGGGATGAGAAGCCTTCATGGAAATGATTCCTCCCAGAGTTCAATTATTTTGTGATTATGTATTATTTCTACTGCGCGTTCACGTGGAATCATATAGAGAAACCTGTCAAGCACATCTGTTGTATTTGTTTTACTATTATAATACTTCAATATGTTCACAGCTGCGGGATAAGAATATATTATATTAGATATTCAGAATTGTATCATAAAGGCGGAGTGCACCCTGGACAGGTCGCCAGTCTATCTATAGGCAGACAACCACTCACACCTAAGGACAATTTTAGAGACACTAATTAACCTAGCCTGGAAGGGAACCCACGCGGACACGGGGAGAACATGCATACTCCTCACAGAAAGGCCGGGGCAACCGGGGTTTGAACCCACGACCTTCTTGCTGTGAGGCGACAGTGCTAACCACTAGCAACTTTGATTTCAAAATAAAAGCATTTAAGGTAAAAAATAAAATAAAATAAAATAAACAACAACAACAAAATAACTGCTGGAGTGTACGTAAGGAGCATTCTGGGAGATGAGAACATATTTTAAATAATAAATCACACAACATAATATTTACTTGGGTAATTGCCTTCAATTACTTCAACAATTGCACTGTTCATTTCCATTTTCCTAACTTTCCTAACTCACTGCTTGCAATTGCCTGAGGAAATGTATTTACTCTGGGCTTATGAAACTCTTCAAAAAGCCACCCTGATAAACTGACAGGTACAGTATGTTCATCCAACGTATTACACTGTCAGCGATAGATGCTTAAATACGGTTTTATTTTGAAGAATTTGAGCGGCAGTGTCAGTTTCTGTGTGTGTTGCTGACCGACTGCAGGGTGCTGCAGAGAAGAGGGGTCACGCCGATAAACTCAACCCGCAAGACTGCGTCAGTTTAGACGGGTGGTGACATGACAGAGATGGTCGGCGCAGGTAATGAATACACCTGAGAAGTTTGTTTAAATGTTGTCAACTGCAGACATTTGTTTGTTTAAATCTTTAGGAGCGTTTGTTTGGGTGTGGTAGAGGCGTGACACAACAGTCTGGAGTTGATGAACTCCAGAGTTGCAGTGCTTTCCTAAAAGACACTTGTAAGTTACCAAAGTGATGAGTACTGGTCCTGGTATTTTTACACTGGTTTACCTTTGAAATAAAACTGCAAATTGAAATAAGTAGCCTACTGCTCATCTTTTTTGAATACTCATCCTTTGGCCCACGTGGTTAAATTAGGCTATCTGAGGCTGAACAGTGTGAATGCTATGTTCAAATGGATGTGCCCTAGGTTACATACACACACAAATACTGGAATTGTAACTCTACTAATTAATCTAATTTTCAGTCAGTTTTCCTGGAGTTTGTTACTTTCCAGGTGGCATTTCATATGCTAGGTGTTTTGTAAAGGTCTGGTTTTAGGGTTAAATGAAAAAGTTTACCATCACGGGAAATCCTAAATAATAAGCCATTGCTGTTTTATTTTGGCAGCACTTGTTGATTTAGCATATTTATCCTTTCACTCCAGCTTTGGCTTTATTTAAATTAATGTCAAATTTAGTTTAATTCTTCTTTTTGTTCTCCAGGTAACTCAAACACACTTACAGTGTACCAGTCAGAACAGCCTGCACTGTAGTTATGTGTTTAGCAGCTAATCATTAATACAAGTGACTTCTCCCTGCTGTGGTTTTGACCTGGCTCTTGTGTCTCTGATCAATACATTGTGGATGATGTGAGGCAACTCTCTGTTTTTGTATTGCCTGCCGCATTAACCCTCTCCTCCTCAGGACTGTGTTGTGCCAGCCTGGAGGAGCCCAACGCCTTGATGAAGATGGGTCTGAGCGTGGTCCTCATCGGTCATGTTAACTTCCTGTTGGGAGCGCTGGTGCACGGCGTGGTGCTCAGACACATCAACCTCCACATGCAGGCCCAGGCCATGGAGTACGCCATCACCAATGTGGTCGCTCTAACGTCCGGTCTTGTAGTGAGTGCATGGGGATGATTCATACTGATCCTAGAGCAGTTCTCCAATATCAAGAAGGGATTTTGGTGACATCTCTGGGAACATTAAGGCGTATAAGGGGATTTTACAACTTGTTTCACACATTATTTCCATTAGATTTAGAGAAAACTGACAAACCATAAAGGAAAAGTATTTTCATTTTAGCTCCCTCTTTTCAGACTTTGTGATGTCAAGTTGTGGGATTATCCATCAGAGCTGTGCTTGCACTGTGCAAACTAGTGTTGTAGTCAAGACCGCCCAAACCGAGACCAAGTCAAGACCAAGACCAGAGTTTATCAAGACCGAGACAAGACCAAGACTTTTAGGGCTGAGACCAAGTCGAGACCAAGACCAGTTCCCCACATTACATGACACACAACAAAATGTGGAACGAGATCATAGGTACTTCTCAAACTGATCTGAAAGATTCGCATTCCCATTAACACCCACACACAAACACTAAGAGCTGAAATCAACGTAAGCATCTTTATTCAAAAGATTCGCAGGGAGGGGGGACAGTCGTTAACGGTAACAACACATTTTTAATCAAAGTTAGGAGGTTAACTAATAAATCAGACAATGCAAAAGCATTCCCAAAGTTATGGTTTTGACTGGTCTTGAAATAAAATCCCGAGTCCTCAATGTCCGAGACCAAGACAAGACCAAGACCGTCAAAGAGTGGTCTTAAGACTGGTCTCGAGACAAAGGTGCCTAGAATTCATAAAGTACAGTAGAAAGTTACTTTGTGATTGTGCAATAATTTTTAGTGCTTTGAAAACCTTTTTGTAAAAATAACATGCGCTTAAGTGTATGATTAAAATAGTTCCTCATAGCCCCTTTAAAATCATGTTGGAAAATGTTAAATCCTGCAAATGATTCTCAGTCCAACAAATCACAGGAGGCTTCATTATGATTACTTTTAAAACCACTTTCCTGAACAAAGAACCCTTGAAGTAAATTGGCCTTTAGCTGTAAAATTAAAGGGCCATTGGGTGATACTTTTTTTCCCCCAAGGCTTCACAAAAACAACTTTCAGAACAAACAAAGGCGCTTAAACACACATTTGAAATGCTTGTAGTGATCGCACAAATGGTGTTAAATGTTCTTTACGTCTCCTGTGTCTTGTCTCTGCAGGGAATTGTTGCTGGCATTCTGGCTATTATCCTGTCTAAAAACAAGAAGAGTATAGCTATGGTCAGTATCAGTATCACTACTGCTACTACTAGTTTTTTTATTTTATTTGAATGTTCTTAAAAAGTGATAAACATTAAAAAACAGACAGGAATCTATGTACAGTACATTCTGACAGAGCTGTCAGTCCTTTCCCCTGATGTTTTCTCTCTTTTCATTGATCCTCCCACTTTGCCAGATCAGTATTTTCAAAGCACTCTCTGCTCATTTTGATCTGTCTGCCTGTACTACACATATACTTGCTTTCTCTTTGATATTTTCCAGCTTTCACACTGAATTCTCAGCTTTAGTCTCTTGTCTTTCTAGTCAGGTGGACATTAATAAACCCCTTTGAGCTCCTGCATGTTGCCTCAAGTGTCTGAATGCAAACCCGCCAGAGATTGAGTAGTTGCTGTTTTGTTCCCTCTCTCCAGTCGTGCAGCACAGCTTCTCCTCTCTGTTTATTCAATCAGCTGTCAGGCTGTTCAGACGGGGCTGACGAGGCAGCGAGCTGAACTGAATGACTAAGGTCAAGCAAACCTGCTGTGATAAACTGCCCCCCGTTTCCTGTGTCAGTGAGAGCAACCATGAACTGGGCAAGGCATCGGTTTTACTCCTCATCAGTCTTATTCATTCATTCATTCATTCAGGATGAATGTAATCTCAACACTCCCATTTTATTGTTAACACAGTCCCTTAGCACATGTGCTGGCTCCTACAGCCTTTTATCTCCCAGACAAATTTCCACAATATTCTATTGTTCTTATCAAGTTTCGACTTCACCCCTCAACTTCACAAAGTGATTTTAAAGGTCTAGAGACTTTCTGTGGCTATGTCTCACCTTCTGTTAACTTGGTAAAGGTGCACTGTTGTGCAGACTATGTGTGTTATTGCACAAAGCTGATAGCTGTAGTTTCTAATGCTTCTTACTGGGAGTTTTGATAAGGCTGGCACCATTTTATAGTTTTTCTTATAATCACCAAATCTCATTAGGGAGTTAGTCCATCTCCAATACTTTTAGACATCTCTATCTTACCTGTGACATTCTGCCTCAAGCCTGTTTGTTCTCATTGGAGTTGTAAAAGGGTCGCGAACATATAGTTAAAAATAACATTTAAAGGCTCAGTAATGTCCTTTAAACAGATGGACACAAGTTTCTATCAAACATCACTCATACGAGAATGAAAAGTGTTATTGTTGGGGTCTATTGTCAGCAGATCTGCAAAATCTGGAGCCTTAAAAAGTATTTACATGCCACTCAGTGCAGTTTATTGATGTGTTTTTAATAATTTTTTTTGGGCATGATAATGGAGCTCTGTGGCAAGGAGGAATACGATATATCAGGCTTTGTATACAGACACAGTACGTAATAGGGCTGCAACTAAAGATTATTTTCATTATATATTAATCTGTAGTTTATTTTTGATTAATTGTTTTGTTTTTTTGTTAAAACAGTAGTGAAATGTTTTGCTTGGAAAACGACTGATTCTCAATCCAGACAAGAGACCAATAAAATAAAATAGACCGGTCAAAATTGATGCAGCAGGGGCCAAAAAATCCTGACATCATCCCTAGTATGGCAGTTGATAAGAGGATAAGACCCTCCCTGCCTGGCAGATTCTCACATATTTCAAACTCCACACCCCAAGTTCACAACACAGGCTTTTTGCTAAAACTTTTAAGTCTCAAGCCCAAACCATAATAACCCTGGTGACATCATTAGGATTACTGTTTCACAGGCTGAGTAGTAATCCTGATGACAAATAAGCTGATCTTTACGTGTAAGTCAGTGGAGTGCCAGATTATGGTCTGTGTAAAAACATTTTGTAAATAAGTTCCAATTAAAGAAATACTAATAAATTAAAATAAAGCAATAGATGTCAAAAACAGGCGAAACAGAAAAAACAAACTAATAAAGCCAAATAATCTGTGGCACATTTGGGTGACTGATGCTATCATTATGTAGCAGGACTAAGAAATTTGATTTGTAAAACCACATTTTAAATGACATGCAAAATCCCCATAGCCCTGGATAGACCTAGTGATGAACAGTTCAGAGGGTCAGACACATTGCGACCCCTGTTGGTCAATTTTTGTAAGTATAGTTTTTGATGGAATGTCGTCTATTTATATTCTACTGTTCTTAACTGCCTATTTACGCTGCCCGTTGCGTGAACGAGGATAAACTAAGCCCAGATAGAATACAGAGTTGTGATAGAATACAGAGTTCCTCCAAATAAAAGCTAATTGTGTGAAACATAACTACAGATAATAGGAAACACCATTTTAAAGTCTATAATGAAATAAAGTTAAATTAAGCCACAATCAAAAACATGTATGAAATTAATACTTTAACTGTACATATTACTTCATTTATTTCAATTCAATCAACCTTTTTTTTTTCTTACCTGTGAACATACTTTTATTTACCTTTTTCCCATTTCTGTTCATTTGCTTCTATAGCTCATGTTGTAAATGCTGCCTTAAATCTGCTGTAACTGCTCTGTTTGTGGAAATAGTGTTTTTCTTTGCTGTCCCTTTTTATCTATGTACTGCTGCAGATGCCCCAGTTTCCCAATTGGGAGCTTTAATGCTTCATTTTATCAGCCATCAAGTTTCTGGTTCCTGATTGTTTCGCTTGTCTTCCCATCTGTTTCTTCCCCAGATGTGGTCACTGTTCACAGTCGGCCTGGCCGCCGCTCTCATGGCAGCAGCTTCAGCCATTGGACTCACCGTGTCTGTGGCGAGGGCCGTCATTCACGGCAGGCAGAGCCTCCTGACTCACTGCCAATTCCCCGATGCCACTGGCCACTTCAACATCACCAACGAGTGTCCTTTTGACCCCACGCGTATCTATGTGAGTGTATTAGTTCGTACGACAGAGGCTGAGATCAAGGCATGAACTGTGACCTTTTCTGCAGTGGCTGGCTCTTTGTTGGAGAAGGAGGGAGTGTGAGGCTGGGTGTCTTGTCTATTCCGTCACTCAGTCAGTCACATTCTGCAGCCGGTGGGCTGGTGGCAGAAGCGCTGACCCGACCCTGTCGGTCCACTTCAGGCTCTGTCCTGTCCCAGTGAGCTATAGATGGATTGTCAGGCCTGCTCAGCCTCACCGCTGTAGCCACACATCAGCACGACTTTGGCATTTTACCACAGCTAGTAGTCTACAATTTGCCAGTTAAGTGACTTTAGTCTTAAGCTGGATTTATGCTTGACACGAGGGGTTAATGGCATCCCCGCTGTAGATACATACAGGTTACAGCTGTTTACATTTTTTCATTCACTTTGTGATACAGAGCGACGGTGGGAAGGTTTGACTTCTCTCATTGTTGAATCGCTGCGTTTACAGTACATTCTGTCATGCACTGGGAGCCAGACTATCAAAAAAGCCTACACTGATAAATAGGTAGCACTTCACTTTAATTTCACTTTATTTAGAATTTATAAGTGTGAAACCTTTTTAATAAATTGTTCATAATGCGTTATAATGTAGTTAAGCAGATATACGTGTTTATCAATGTATTTGTCATGCCTTCAGAAGTGAAGGCTGCTGTATAAACAAATAAATGCAATATAGAAGAAAACCGAGTCAAACAGAGAAGAAAACATGTCATAGCAGACATTATAATAGTTGACTGTACATTAATAACCCTAAAAATATTATTGTATCTGCTTACAACTTTATTATAGTGTGCAATGAACCATTTGTTAATTTAAATGTTTGTACACTGCTTATAAATGCTAAATGGGGAGACTAAATATTTTAGGTATTTGTGGTTACTTCAAGTGTCTGTCGGTTCATTGCAGTTTAGCATGCTGTGGTGGGTAATATGTGCAACTTGTATTTACATTAAAGCTGCGCGTGGAGAGGCTATGGTGAAGTTACGGAAGCTATGCACGTAGCCGCCATAGCTACACAGGATGAGTGTAGAAATAACAAATGCATGGAAGTGTATATAGCAAAAAATGAGGTGGTAGATTTTAGGGGTGGGAGAAATAATCGATTCTTAGATGCATCGCGATTCGGGCGTGGAAGATTATGAATCGATTAACAAATGTCTAAAAATCAATTATTTAAATGTTAATTGATAACGAAATGTTGACGGAACGCAAAAGGTGGAACTTGCGGAAATGCAGCGCCTGGATAACCTGTGGAGCGCACACAACAGAGATACCAGTGTTCCTCTGTATTCGCCACCACTGCAGAACCACCCTACTAAAATCTCACCATCATTAATATCAGGGCGCTAGTTATGATTTTAACTCGCACACTGTGAGCATGGTGACACTCGATGCTCGGCACCTGTGTGAGGCTGAGCGAGTGAGAGAGCGTGAGCGGCAGAACGTGACGGTGAAAGTTAGCGGAGAAAAATATTAGCCGTAAGTTTCAGTCCGTTAATAAAAGTCTGTAGTTTTTAGGAAAAATTAAGGATGTTAGTGCTAGCTAACATCTCCCCTGCTCTCTGTCCCCCCACACCAGACCCTGATAACTGGTTGTTAATGAAATGAGGGACCATGGAGCTGAGGTTAATAAAGTAAGTTAAGGATGCAAACTAGTACTTTTAAGCTAATAAACTAGGAGATGTTTCTTTTGGATTTTAATGCGCAAATTAAATGCTTAGTAATTATCCAGGGATCCTGTTTAGAAAAAATGGTGCATCGATAATCATTTTATAATCGAATCGCAGCCCTCTGAATCGTAATCAAATCGAATTGTGAGGTGCCCAGAGATTCCCACCCCTAGTACATTTACCTGTTGTGTGCTGCAGTTCATCTCAGTTGTCCTTAAAAATCACTTAATCAAATAGCCCTCACGCTAATTTAGCAGTTATGTGTGAGTATGTAACTACAGTGACTTGCCATGCTAGCTTTAGCTCGTGTGCAGTTAAAAAGGTGGTATTATGGTTTTTGGCTTTTTCCCTCTCCTTTATTGAGTTATATATATTTTTTGTGCATGTACTAGGTTTGCAAAGTGAAAAAGTCCAGCCCAAAGGGAGTTCCCATCTCCCACAGAAAGCTCTGCTCTGAACCGCTGTGATGTAGAGACAGAGCTCAGTTAAAACTTTATGGATGAAAGATACATTTGTTACAGATTAATAACTCACCACTCTGAAACTGTTGCTCCAGTCTATGTTACCAAGCTGGTCGGCAACATGTACAGCTGAACCGAAGCCGTGTTTACTGGCTTCTCACTGACTCGCCCTTCTCTGCTTCTGATTGGCTTGTAGTCCTTAAAGGAACTGCGCATGTGCAACTCCCAACAAAGATCATGTAGAGGCAAGATGTATCCCTCCATAGCTAAAACGAAGCTTTCAACACACAGGGTAAAAAGAGGAGCTGCAGCAATGTGCAGTATTAAAGAAATGTGTTTTTTGAAAATTACACCATGTAAACCTGTTCTGGTACAACCCCTGAATAGGATTTGGAACCTGAAAATGAGCAAAATACTACCTCTTTAACAGCTATGATTTGCTGTCCAAGTACTGAAGTAACCAGCTTAACATTAGTTACGATAATTTCTGTTAATTACTACTTTGACCAAAGTTTCATAGTTTTGGCATCATTCCTGTCAATAATAACACTCATAGTCACTGAGTTAATTGATATGATCTGGAAACTTGGCAATCTGTACAAACTTGTTAAGGAAAGAAAAAGAGCTGAAAATGGGGAAGACAATTAGTCAGGCAATCAGACAAACCCCCAGGATAGCCAAACGTATTTGTAAGAGAAAATTAAGGAAAATGGTAAAACTTACTCCCAGGCTGTTCATTTTTCTAAAAAAATTAGGAAAAAATGAGGATTATTGATACCATTTTGGGCATGTCCATTGTTGGTTTTATCTCCCAATAAAGATGTAAAATAGAGATTTATCTTTTAATCAGAAACTTCCTAATCAGAATCAGTATAGAGGTAACTAACTTTGCTGTTGTTTACTGAGACTGCAGACCATGTTGTTCACTCAGTGGCCTATTAGCAAGGGACCTCCAGAATGGCTGCCGGAGGGTGCATTACATCACCTGAAAGCGTGTTTTGGACTTGGATATTCATAGTTGCTTGGAGGCAGTAATGATGGTTATGCAAGGTTTATTTTTATGTGTTTCCTGCATATTTCATCGTGAAGTCCAAAGAAAGCTCTAAACTTCGAATTACAAACTTTCATTCTCTTTGTAGTCTAACTAAAAAGCCAGCACTTTTTCTCTTTGAATTCCCTCTGTGCAAATTTACTTTGATACATTCTGCTCTGCATATTTTATTCACAACGCTGACTCTCCTGTGCAAACCATACCCAGACCCACTGCTGTGTTTTTGCATCGCTCTACAGCCATCTGAGAAAAATAAGGTTCTGCATCACATCATTACCCACTTTGTGAAACTGCTCTTGCCTCAAATTGTGTTCTTTATGGTCTAGCAGGTTGTTTCTACTAACACCACTCCTCTATCCCTCTCCAGAGTACCACTCTGATCCTTTGGGTGCCCCTTATAGTGACTTGTGTCATCCAGATGGTGTTTTCCGCCCGGTGCTTTGCAGTATGCATTTCATTCCTGGGTCTCTCTTCCTGCCCTAATGGGAAGATTGGCAGAGCGGTGAGATTTCGACTCAAACATACTTTGTGCTGCTTTAAAAATGGAATTCTTTAGTGTATATACAATATACAATATATTACAATTGGATTAAAAACAGTCTGATGATTCCTCTGTGTTTTTGTAGATCAATGTGGTGAGGCCAAAGGAGGACTGTGCGCCCTCTCACTACGCTGAACCTCCAACACGCTATGCTGAACCTCCAACACGCTATGCTGAACCTCCAACACGCTATGCTGAACCTCCAAGACGCTATGCTGAACCTCCAACACGCTATGCTGAACCTCCAAGACGCTATGCTGAACCTCCAAGACGCTATGCTGAACCTCCAAGACGCTATGCTGAACCTCCAAGACGCTATGCTGAACCTCCAAGACGCTATGCTGAACCTCCAAGACGCTATGCTGAACCTCCAAGACGCTATGCTAAACCTCCAACACGCTATGCTGAACCTCCAACACGCAACACTGAACCTCCAACACGCAACACTGAACCTCCAAGACATCAGTGCCAACTTCCTCCCCCTCCAAAACATCTTCCTCAGTGGTATCGTAGTCTTCCTCCCTCAGAGAGGCAGCCTACTCACCAGGCGAGCAGAGAAAGGTCAGACAGAGAAGGGCAAGAAACAAGGGTTGGCAGCCAGCAAAGGGCACTGGAGCAACATCAGCTGCTGGAGAGGGGAACGATGGAAAGGTCCAGCTTCTGGATTTAGCAGTTTTTGACATGCCAGAGCTTCTTGAAGACCAAACACCGTGAGGGTATATACTCTAGTTCAAGCTGCAATACATCATACTGAGCCCTATTTTCAGTACCTCCAAATGAACTCAGAGCAGGAGAGATTTATGATGCAGTGGACCCAAACTCAAACCCGATGTATGAATTTTCAGACTCTTGTGTGCAGGATTACGGTTATGTGAGTGTGTCTGTTCTTTTATTTTTGTACTTATGGAAGTCAAGTGATTCATATCAGGATCCACAAATAAGAATCCTGCAGTGAGGATTTGGTTGCAAGCCTTGCTTGTACAATGTTTTAGTTAGCTCAGAGTTCAAACAATAGGTAAACATGTTGGGAAATGCACTCATGTCGCTTTCTTGCAGAGAGTTAGATGAGAGGATCGATACCACACACACGTCTGTGCGATATGTATAGAGCTGTAGTTAGGACAGAGACTTGAAGTCGTCTGGCTCTCCACAGTGATAAAAACCCCAAGAAACAACTCTAAAGTTCATTAATCAACATGTTGTGTTATCTTGTTTATTTAATTCACAACTTAAACTTAAAACCAGAACTTGTCATTTTGACACTTGGCTTCATATTTAGCGTACGGATATGAGAGTAGTATCACTAATTCTTGGCAAGAAAACAATTAAGCATATTTCCCATAATGTTGAACTATTACTTTTAATGTTGGGTTTTATACACATAATGCAGGCAGGTACCGTGTGTGTGTGGGTGGGTGGATGTGTGCGCCTTCCATCGTGTGTGTGTGTGTGTGTGTGTGTGCGCTTTTTTTGTGCAGTTTGGTCATGAGAAACTAGTACTGCAGGTTTTTGTATTAATTGCCTAAGTAAATAAAGTATTCATAATTATGCAGTCAGTTTGTGTATGTTTTGTCCTCATGCCAGAAGCTAGTGTGTGACTGGTTACACTCTGACACACGCAGACATCCTGACAGGTTAACTCAGCCCCATTCACCCACGTCCTGTCAGGTCTACTGTAATAAGGACCTGCAGTGTACACTGACAGGCTGCACCACTTATGTGTATGACTGTAATGTGAAGTTGTCAGACCAGACATTCACCTTGTCCACTGTGAAAAGCTCTGCTCCTTAATGCCTTCCTACTGAACCAGAAATGAGGAAACAGTCCACACGTGCAGCTTTGAAACACATAGGTATATTTTGCTTTCAGGTCCAACGGAACAAACATGACATCCTCATGTGAGGTTTCCATGCAACAGAAAAATAGGAAAGAAGGAAAGGGAGGTTAGGAAGGAAAGAAGAAAGAAAGAATGGGTGTATTTATTTAACACAAGGTACCAGGTCATCAGAGGCAACGAGAATAGAAAAGGATTAAACTGTAGTAAATTGTGGGGGGGTTAGCAACTGTTGTTCCTTATCCTACCAGCAGAAGGCAGTGATAATATAGAATCCCCAAAGCAGAGGCTGGTTAGGAAGCTCCTGTGCAAATGTTTGGTACAAATCAACCTATGGTCCTAATGTCATGTGGATGCAGCTGCACCAGTACAGCTCTCAGGCTCTCGCCGATAGTTCACTTTGCCACCATTGCACACTATAATTCAATTTGTGAGGTAGTGAAATGCTGGGCAACACACACATTGGGAAGACATTGGCCATTTTTAAAGACTATTTTTGTCAGTTTAGTCTGGTATGACAGAGTGACTAGCTAAAGAAAAAACTTTTTTTACCTCACATGGAAGACAGAGAAATCATCCCAGTGTGTTGGAAGTGTACAACGGTTCTATTCCTCACCTTGGACAGTGTGTAGAGTGAAGCCTGTCTAAACCTGCCAGAAGTAATTGCATTAGTATTCAATTATGGAATAAATACTGAATTCCAACCAAAAGTAAAAGTACTCATTAAATTATGGGCAGTTAAACATATAATACAATATATTTTATAAACTGATTTGGGTGTAAAAATCTGCACCCAAAAGTACCTGGTAACAACAGTTGTCAGATAAATAATGCATTAATAATTTCAATATTTCCCACTGAAATGTTGTGGAGTAAAAGTATAAAGTGCCATAAAATAAAAAAATACTCCAGTAAAGTACCTATGTATAAATGTACAATGAGTAAATGTACTTAGTTACTTTACACCACTTCTAAGTACCAAAAACATGTATGCATTATACTTGTTCAATATAAATCTGTAAAAGTAAAGAAATGGCATAATAACAATTATCCCTCAATGCTTTTGGATGGTCTTCTGTTAACTTGACTTTCTTGTGCATCATGTAAAGAAACATTTTGATTGAATCGAAAATAGTATTTTTGCTCCAAACTGTGACTTTGTCCCAGTTTGCCCGACGCTTCGCTTCCTCACAAACAGAATTTGTGTTTTGTTTGACCTCCAAAATAGAAGATGGCAACAGTGATCTGACAATGGGGGCCTTAAATCCTTAATCCGGGAGAGTAGTTTTAGTCTTCCGGCAACCAGTTGCTCTGTTTACATGTGCACAGCATTTCAGATGGGGGCTTTTATTCTGAAGCATGTTTTATTCAGTCGTGTTTTCAAACTCTAATATCATACAATAAAGTGAAGTCTTGGATTTTATTTAAACTGGAGAGACTGATCAATATGTTAGAAGAGGTGGGGTATGAATTTAGTGGGGTATGAATTTAGGGTTTGTATCAGTGCTAATCTAAACACAGTCACTGATGTCTGTCAGATTACTACATATGTCTGGAAGCCCTGAAAACTCTAATCAGAACATGTATCTGCACTGGCTCTGGCACATGTCCCTTCATCTAACTGCTCCACAAGCAGACTAATCCAGGAGGTTATAAAAGCATTCAGCTAGAGAGTGATGAACGAGCCCTTAGTGAGTTCTCTGTCAGAGGAAAAAAAGAGAGGGATGAGGGTTTGTCCCAAAGCAAGACAAGTATTCAGTCATTTCTGCCCGGTACAGTGCTGAGGAGGCTGCAGAGCTACAAAAAGATACCGCTGTGCGTTAACTGTTTTTGTGGATTTTGCCATTGTCCGGTTCATAGGATCATGCAGTATAATGGTTACGACTATGTTAAGTTTACTGCTTGTTGTTAAAGAACTTTAAAATACATACAAATTAAGAAACAACACAGCAAGATAATACTGTAAAAGTTAGCCTCAAGCATACAGCGCATACTCACATGCACGCACACGCATTCAGACCAAATGCACAGCCATACTTTATAAACACATGGCAGCTCAAACGATATGTGCTACTGGTGTCGATCAAATGCATTATGAGACACCCTTATTTCATAATCTTGAACAAATCCACAAATCCCAAAGAGCTTAATCTCACATTTTCTCTCTCTCTCTGTCACTGTAAACTGGAATATGGTCATCTTTAACAACATATCAAAGTAAAAGCACAATAATAAGAATACAAATGAATAAATAAAACAACATGAAGGAGGGAAACAATATGTACAAATGAAAAAACCCCAACATAAATCTATAAATTTAAAAATCAACAAAATGCCAGTAGATATCAATAAAAACCTCATAGGATCTTAGGCCTTCTTTTTCCTCATAGAAAGATCATATAGCAGTAAAATCCCAATAGTGCCCCAACCCCACCAACCGCCACACCGACCACCCATTCAGATCAGAACCGGAAGCTACGCTACATAATACTGCCTTTCAATGCCAAAGAGTGTGCAACATACATGAAGACAAATGTCCTTCATCTCATGATATACACAGACGTACAGTATATACATGATATACATGTGTGGAGAAACTGAGCAATCCCCACCCTGCAAAAAACATCCACACTTTGTCACAGGCTCCCTGGAAATCTGACGTTCCAGAGAGAGAGAGAGATATTCGGGAACATTAGCGGGCGCCACTGTCGACTGATCATTAAATGTATGCATGCCCCTTCATTTTTCCCAAATATATAAATGAAAGTAAAACGATAGTGATGACTTTTCTTAGCCTCCTTAAAATTCATCCTCCATCCTTGCACACACACAAAAAAAGAAGAAATGATGATAAGATCATACGAGAGACGAGAACCATCATGCACTGATTTAAGTGACTGTTTCAATAGCAACATGGAGGGTGAGGAAGAAAGGGTTGTAGATGGGCGGGGGTTCAGAACTGGGAGGCCGAGCTGGGGTCGCACTGGAGTAGCCGGACGATGGAGGGGTCGCTTTTGGCACCTTTGATAAACTCCTCCAGGGACAATTTGCCTGCAGGGCAGAAGGAGACAGAGGAAACAAGAAACACAAAAGTCAGTATCATGAAGCAATGTGACCCATGTTACATGCAAACTACAAAAATGCCTATTTGCATTAAGTCAATATGGTGTCATAAATGGAGACTGAAAATAATTAGTTATTCTACTATCCATTGCACGTAACAATTTAATGCTGGATCACATAATGCTGGTCATGTATGCTCAGTGGTATTGTGGTGTTCTATTGTTTTATTATGTTGTCCTTTTTTGTATTTCACCTCTGCAATCACCTGCCGGGGACTACAGCTGAGGATGAGGAAGTAGCCTTCTGGTTAAATCTGGCATATTTGCATGGATGCAAAAGCTGAAGTGTTCATCAATGGGCTCATTTTAAATAAACAAATAAACACAAGAAGAACTGTGCAGATTCATATACATCCCTAGGCCTCTATATTGACCAACACTAAATAAAGTAAGAACATGACATTTGAAAATATTCTAAGAGAGTGTTAAAGAAATACAAATTTGAGATACTTGTACTTTTGTACTATTTTCACTTTATGCAACTTTATACTTCTACTCCATGACATCTCAGAGGCAAATACTGTACTTTTTACTCCAATAAATTTGTTAGGAAGCTTTCGTTTCTAGTTACTTTTCAGATGTACAGTAAAATATGTCTTACCCTTCCTGTCCAGTGAAACCCATGTATCTCCAAATTTGGTGATTTAAAAATCTTTCTGATAAACTGAAGGACAAAGTGTTCCTTTACGGGTTGAGAAGCTGGACAATGCATCGTCACAAAGTGAAAACAGGGCTATTTCTTGGTTGACTTTTTAGAGATCTCACAGGACGACAACACTTCAAACATATGATGATCTTATAGAATATGATGCATTGCTGTAGAACCACCAATCAACTTTCTTAAGCTTGTGTGTTATGCTATTCAGCCAGGTTTTCTGGGCCTTAGAAATGTCTCGATGTGTGAAACAGTGCTGTTTTAAATATGGGATGGGAATCACGCAAGGTTTGCTGGAAGATATGGTGGCTCGGCTGTGGAATTGCTACTGGAGGAAAAACAGGCTGACAATAAAAGATATTTGTTTGGGATAGACAGCTTATTGGATCTTGGTCGTGCACTTGCGTTGTAAACTACGGGCTCGGTTAGGCATTTTTTAATCATTAAAAGATCAACATGAGTCTGTTAGCAGAATCTGTGTTGGCTGAGAGAACGCGGGGCTACAGGACTAATCCAGTACTGCATACATTAGTACTGCAACTATTTAACTTTTTACTGGGAACTATGCAGTATATTGTTTAGAGACGCAGATGGAGTTGGCTGTTCACATATGAAACATTTAAAGTAGTCACTTGCTTGAGAAAAGCCTGGGAGGGGAGAGAAACCCTTCATCAGGATAAATGTGTTTCATTTCTTTTCCTCCTTCTGCTCTACAATATAATTGATTCCCCCCCCACGTAAATACGTTTTTATGTATTTAAAAGTGTAGAGATGTATATATAATGTTGTAACTGCTGACTTTTTTCTTTGTATATGTGTTATTGGAGGATGTGTGTTATATTTTATTAATGTTTGTTATGTCTTGTATTTGGCATGTGATCCCCGACACATGCAGTTCCTGAATTCTCTCAAAAAATCTCTATTTCAGTTTCCACATTTCAAAGATGATCTTTAGTAAACTGTCACATATATCCCCCATTCCTCACTCCTCTCCCTCTCTACATCACATTCATCCCTCCATGCTGCCATTTCCTCCGCTCACCGTCATTATTGAGATCCATTTGTCTGAAGATCTTATCTGTCCTCTTCTCCGGCGTGGATTCATCTTCTGGCATCTTCATCACCGATGACACCATCTTGTATATGGCCTGATAGATGGAGCGAGCGAGCGAGAGAAAGAAGGGAAGGGACAGGGTTGCGTTGGGTGGGGGAGGGAAAAAAAGAAAGATAAGTTCATTCACGTCAGCAGGGACCCATTAAGAAGACTCAGCAGAGAACTAAAACCTGACTGAACTGAAAAGTAAAGTCAATGTGGCTTTCAAGATGCTGATAAACACGCTTTCTACAGTCCACATGATTCACTGACATTTGTTACTGCTGCTCCCCGGGCAGCTTTTCCACAAATACCCACGCAGGGTCTGTGTGGCTATAGAACAATATCATCATACCATGGTGACATAGACCACATGTGCCAGCAGTGTAGGGGGGCTCGTGAGCAGAGCTTACTGTACTGATCTGATACATCATTATCAGTTGACTGATACAAGCAACCAATAATCTCCATGTATCAGCTAGCCTCAGACACGGATCTACAATCAGCTTAGGTGCCCATTAAATCATCTCCATTGGGAGCATAGGGTGTAAATCTGACTGTGCATCAGTGTCACAGCAGCAATCTCAGATGGGAAGGTAGCTTGCACGAAATAAACCCTTCTGTGCTTTTTGGTAAGGCATATGGGCTCTAAGATTTTATCTCCTGGACTGTATAACAAGAGCTCATATATTCCTCCAAAAAAAAAGACAAAAAAGAAATTGAGTCGACAAAATGCAACAGTTGACTGATTGAAACAGACATTGATTTTAATCTTAAAAAATAGGGCCTAAATAGTTCATCTGCAAACAGAACACATTATTGTAATATACAGTACTACAATACATTACTAATTATTATTACTAAAAATTGTTATAAAGAATTCTATTGACTGATATTTAACAGCACAACGAAAACAAGATTTTAAAATGAAAATATTCACCCACTAATAAATATGTCAAACATAAAAAAATATATATATTTAGTATATATAATGTGTATATATGTATGTAATTTACAATATGCAGTATAATCTCTTAATTCTTTACTGGATAGGACAATGGTTAGAGGTAGAAAACGAGGGAGAGAGAGACACAGGGGGCGACACACAGCAAAGGGCCACAGGTCAGATTTGAACCCGGCTGTTACGACTGTGGTCGTAATTTGTGAACTTTAAAATAGGCCTATGTTCAGTGTTATTGCCACCTGATCTGTTTATTATGTAAACAGGTCTGTGCCACAACATCAGAGTGATTGGTGGATTCTGTCTCTGCTCGGCGGGGGATTGGTGGCGGTGGTTCCAGCTCGTGGCAGATGAATGGTTGCTTCCTGATGGCATGCTACTTAAGCGGGGAAGATGGCGGTGGCTGGGCGCGGTGGGCATCTTGGCATCTTCCTCCTCTCCCAACAGGCCACAGTCTGATCTTGTTTAAGTAGGGGTGGGCCGCTAATTCTGTTTGTCTTCTTTTTCTCTTGTTTATTATAGTCAGGGAGTGAGTTGCTTGTGGTTGGTTTTTGTTTGTTTGATAGGTTAGTGCTGATTTCTAGTTAGAGGTGTTTAATTTGTTATGTTGGCCTTGGCTCACCCTGAAGTAAACTAGTTTATCTCTACTTGTTTCAATCTGTTATAAATGAATTCACAATTCCTTATTTCTTAATAGTCTACGTTGTGTTCATGTGGCTCCTTGGGGCTTGGAGAAGATGGGGTAGTCTCGTATTGCGTCTGGGCCTCTAGACTGGGCGTAACACCGGCACTGCAGTAAGTACTCAGCATTGTACATGGTGTGCTAAACCACTTCTTATCAGAAAATCAGAAAGGCAATTCCCTTTTCTATTTTTTTAAATATTTACCTGCTGCTTTTGTCTTTTCCCTCAACTCAGCCATCTGCATGACTCGCACTTTTAACAGTAAAAGCTCTGTTGTGTCTTATGGATGCATCCACCATTGTGTCCCTGAGCAAGACACTTAACCTCATTGCTCCAGAGGCGTGCGACCTCTGACATATATAGCAATTGTAAGTCGCTTTGGATAGAAGCGTCAGCTAAATGAATAAATGTAAATGTAAATGTTATGTTAAGTACAGGAAGTGACATTATTCCGTGTTTTGTTTGTTGTGGTACTCAAGGTTTCGTTTAATAAATAGTTTTGTTTAAATAACTTCAGTAATCAGCGACAATCACAAACTCGCCATTTTAAAATTGGCTTCCCAAAGCAATGGAGAAATTAGCTAGTTCTCGTTGGCTCCCCCAACACACCTGTTGCAACAGCACAGTACGTACACATTCACGTTCAAATAATATATCTCTGAAAGCCCATGGACAAAGTTTGCAAAGTGATGCGCAAGACACAACAGTCAACAGTAAGCTAGCTTTGCCTCCTGCCTGTTTTGGGGGTAGTTGAGGATGTATAGGGTGAAGATTTGGTCTGCTGTCTGATAATGTGGTGTTAAACAAATCTGACTTCCTCTGTAGTAGTAGTCTCTCTCACTCTCACTGTGTACAATGACACTATGGCCCCCACCTCTCTCAACCAATGGTGCGTAACCTCAATGAGCCTGAGGATAATCCCAATATACTGCACACTCAGGGATAAACTCTGGTTAAATTTAACTCGCTAATCTGTGAGAACCCAGTAGCGTGCACACACACACACACACACACACACACACACATACACACAGAACATATAGAGAGATTGTCAGTCCCTGTCCAATATCTCGACATATGAGTGTCTCAATTTCTTCTCTTGAGTGCGACAGGATTACATACAGCACTAATGTAGTACTATACTTAACAGTCTTTACGAAAACTGTTGCCTGTGCCAGTATTGCAGTCATCACATTAAATGTGCCTATTAGTCTTTGCATATCAGTGCTTGAGCTTCCTTGCGCATACTTAATACGAATGTATGAACTTACATACTTAAAGTGAGCATTTATCATAAGCACTCTCTCAATCTATTCCTGTCAATGCAAATGTCTATAATACGATTAAATAAAATGTACAATGGAGACCTACTGGGTGATTTAAAGGCGCAATGACAATGCTGCGGTAAGAACAAAAGTTATTTACCAAGTTATCAAATTTGTTCTTTAAGCATATTATGTTATCAACTGCATCATGTGTATTTATTAAAAGCAAAGTTAGGTTTGGTGACCAAGACATTTATGACATTATTTGGGGTCTTCTGTCACCACACATTAGTGTCATGTTCAAAATCCCCATGTCCCCTGGTTTTAAAGGTGAACTCCAGAGATTTCGTATATAAAGGTCAGTTCATGTGTAATGAGGCGTATGACTCAGCACCTGAAAACAATTGTAATTCTGTCTGTGGCTTTATTGAGTCCACTAAAGTCTGAGAAAATAACCCTGATAATGTCACCAGCCAGTGCTTGGAAACTAAATATCTCTAACAGCAAACTCTGGACGTGGAGTTTTAAATTTAAGGGCTTGTACCAGACAGGAAGGATTTAACAAAAAAATTGTTATTGTTTGAATTTTGGGGAAATGTAGAATCTAGTTTTACAAACTACAGACCTATGGTCAGGATATTGCAGCCTCTGCTGCTTCGATTTTTCCCATTGCACCGCTATGGACTAAACAAACATATCTCAACAATGGACTTCTGACATTCATGGTCCCAAAAGGATTATCCTAAGGACTCTGATGACGCCCAGGCCTTTTCTCTAGTGCTAATCTAGTGCTCTAGTGCTGTTCTAGTGCACGAGGTCAGCATTTTTGGTTCTGAGCAGAGTGTCTCTACAACTATTGGATGGATTGTCATAAAATTTTGTTTTTGGCGTTTGATCCAATAGCAGGGACTAAACATCAGTAAATCTCAGCCTCTGCTGCACAAATTCTGTCCATTCTTCTTTTCACATCTGTCTCCTGTGAGTTCCCCACCTATGGACGTGCAACACTAAATTAGCTTAATTGAGCAGCTACTACAAACAAAAAAAACCCAACATCCTTTTCATAGTCCAAATGCCTCAACTCATCCTTTGCCCCCAACGACACTTGATTACCCAATGTTTCTTGTTTACCTGTACAATCTCCAGCATCTCATCACGGCTGATGTACCCATTTCCGTCCAGGTCATACATGCTGAAGGCCCATTTCAGCTTCTGCTCCAGCTTGCCCCGTGACGTCACGCTCAGGGCGATGATGAACTCCCGGAAGTCTATCGTCCCATCGCCGTTGGTGTCAAAAGTTCGGAAGACGTGCTCAGCAAACTTGGAGGCGTCCCCGTAGGGGAAGAAATTGGCGTAGATTTTCTTGAACTCCTCCACATTCAGCGTTCCACTGGGGCAATCCTTCAAGAACCCCTGCGGAAAAGACATGAGGAGAGACAAGGGTGAAAATAAGTCCTTTAACGGTCTCTTCAGTCTCCAGGACAATATATCCTTATGATACATCAGCAGACCCAAATAAGACCTTTTTCAAAGCTGGTTGGGACCATCAGGAATCAAATTCTGTAACAACTTCGACCAGTAAATGTTTCATTCATGTAATGCTTCATTCGGAACACACTGAAGAAGTAATTTTTGATAAGGAGCTTAGTCTTGGATAGTTGAAAGCAGTTCTATCTTCTTTTCCAGGAGTCACATTGGATAAAGCAGCATTGTGCGTCAGATGAAAAGGGAAGTAAAAGTCATGTCAGTCTTGGTCTTCAGCAGAAATAAAGCTCTTTTTTTTCAAAGACCAAAGATAGAGGCAGCGAGGTGACAGTCATTGTCCCGTTTTGAAGGCTGGAATTACTTTTTGATCATCACACCAAATATTCTCATTAATGAAGGTGGAAAGTCAACATTGTTCTGTTCCAATTTCTTTTTCATTGCTGTGTTTGCCATTTTCTGTGAGAGACCTTCACAACTTTTAGGAAGGCTTGGATTTATCGCCAATAAATCCCCCAAAAAGACAAGCTGGATAAATTTTCAGAGACCTCAGGCACCTCAACATCCAGTGGAAAACATTATGCAGTTCATAAGACATCTCCAGTAACCACAAGCTGTTAATCTCATGGGTATATGTGTGACAGTTGTATTTGTCTATTTGTATCCTTTGTGTTTATTGTTAGAACTAACGTTTATGCTGCTGTCTTGGTCAGGCCACAATTGTAAAAGAGATTTCAATGTCAATTAGACTTAGACCCAGTTAAATAAGGGGTATATAATCTGCTGAGAGTGAACACCAGCATGAATGTTGTCAGTGTGAAGAGACCCGGGGTCAGCAAAGCTTAAGTCACCGGTCAGGGAGGAGACGGTTGAACATATACAGCTCTCATACGGGACAGCTCACACAACTGCTCCATAGGCATAATCCATCCATAAAGCCATATAGCCATTACACACATCCATGCACACAAGAGATAATTCATGCGGTCAGGTCAATGTGGCACTTCATCATGCAGAGACTTAACAGATGGGGAGCAGGTGGTGCTCGGCCTTTGTAGAAGACATTGAGACATTATCACATTCATGGCTGCTGTAGGTGTTACTGTTAAAACCAGTATGACCATACCGAAGAAGATAGCCTATCCCGGCAGATTCAGGAGGGCTGGACATAGTGCAGTGCTTCTTATTCTAAAACAAGATTTTCAAACGCAATTGTACTGTGGAACTCGGAATAAAAATTTGTATTTCAATCAGGAGAGACTTGTGCACAATGTACATGATCATTTATTGTTGTGGTATTTAAAGGGGGTGGTGAAGCCATAATGGTATAGAATAAGGACAGGACTTCTGCTTAGCCTAACCTGGGCCTGGATCTGATGAGCAGGAGGTGAATGGGGTGGAGGAAGGCACCTATTCATACTGAATTGACATCTGACAGCAGCAGAGTGGAGAACAGATGATTCAGTTTGACAGTGACTACATGATTGGCTGATGGAGATCGTGGCAAAAGCTGATTGTCAGTCCCAGTCCAATATCTCGACATATGAGTGTCTCAATTTCTTCTCTTGAGTGCGACAGGATTGCATACAGCACTAATGTAGTACTGTACTTAACAGTCTTTATCACATGTCATCACATTAAATGTGCCTATTAGTCTTAGCATATCAGTGCTTGAGCTTCCTTGCACATACTTAATACGAATGTATGAAAGGGGGTGGTGAAGCCATAATGGTGACTACATGATTGGCTGATGGAGATCGTGGCAAAAGCTGATTGGCAAATTAAAGAGTGAACGCCTATTGCCAGCTGTTAGAAGTCAGGAAGAGACTGTTTGAGAGAGAGTTGTGAATGCATGAAGCATAAAGATTGTCTTCCTGGTTGAACTTATGCTGAGCTTCAATTACTTGACAGTGCCATTTGTCCTAGCTCAGCAGTGACTGACGTGTTAATGTGATTGGTGAGAATTTGTACCAACACTGGCATATTGTTGACTTTGACTCAGAGTTAGCACAGACAGGTTGACATTATCCTCAAAAAGTCACAATAAGTAAGTTTCCTGTCCTGTGAATGATCATTGCAATCCAATAGTGAAGTTTTTAAAATAGGTCAACTTTAATATAAGAAGGGGTATGACAGAGGATTAGGGCCATTGTAGATAATAAAAAAAATAATAATATGGAGCTGCGGAAGGGGGGTAATATTAATAAAAAAGCAAAACATTTCTAAGATTATAGATGTGAATTTATGAGAACAAAAACTCTGATATTCTTTGAGATTAAAGTGGTACATTTATGAGAACAAACTCTTTTTATTAAAGCTACAATAATCAATATTTTTACACTAACAATGTATCAGTGTTGAAATACTTGTAAGTTACTGGTAAAAGGCCTGAATTCAAACATTGACATAAGTAAAAGCACTAAGTGATATTAGTAAAATGTCCTTAACTTTTAAAAGTAAAGGTACATATGTGTGGTCCTATCAGTGTTACATAATTCTATGCAATAATGTGCAAGCAGCATTTTGATGTTGAAGCAACAGCTTTCTTACAACTGCTTTATAACAATGCATCCTTTTTTAAGATGATGATATTTGTATGTAGCCTACATTTTTTAACAATGAACTATTACACATAGTAACTATAAACTAAAGTAAGTATTACAAAAGTATACATTTCCCTCTGAGCAGTCACACTTCTATGACTTGGTACCACCCAAAAATGTCCAGACTGTGTGTACAGTGTGGGTCGACGTACCTTGTACCACTCCTGCAATTCGTGGTCGGAGAACTCAGTATTCTCCCGGAGGTCCTGCAGCATCTCTGGTCGCAGCTTGCTGTTCTGTTTCCCCATGGCAACGGGACAATTTCCTTGACAACAACAGTGACTATATCACTAGCCAGGCTTTTCACACCTGTCAATCAAGACATAAAGAAACAGAAGGCCAGCAACAATTAAGCAGAGAGAAGGATTGCCTCCGGTGATAAATGAGAAGGGAAATACAGTTCGTCAGCAAACAGCGAAACGTCATTGGAGTGACTACCTACCAGACTAGATATAGCAGAAAGACGAAACAGCCATTTAAAACCAATATGGTTAAAAAAAAAAGATGCTTTATCTATTAGGAGCCAGCTGCAATACAAAGAAATTTAGTTTGTGCAAATGAAGTCACCAAGCAATGCAGATAACATAACGCAGTTCTCTACAAGACATTGACAAATTGACTTTGACTTTTTCCACTTACACAATGACTTTTATAATGAAATCAAGCCTTGTCACAGTGTTGTGTCCCAATCCCCTGGAGAAGGGATGTTATGCAACGCCACAAGTCTTTAAACTGCTGCATCACATTCCCCCGCCAAAAAACATTGAATTATCCCGAACGCACCCCTGTGACGTCAAGCGGTAGCCAACTGATGACATGGGTTTATCTGGCCAGCTGTGTGTTTGTGTGTCAAATCAGCTGTGTGATGTGTGTGTGTCCAGATCGCCTAATCGTGCCTGACAAAACACGTTCAGTGATGCAACTACGTAATAAAGCCGTTACTATGAAACCAAATCCCTTCTTTTTTTTAATCTTATAATTCCATCAAGTTACCCATTAATAATGATGTCATTACACTAGTTTTAATGGGATTTTTAAGGTGATTATAAATACTAATAACTAATAAGTAATTAATTTATGTTAACATACTTTCAATGGATTATATGCCTGGTTTAGGTGTTTGTTAAGAGGTTAAATTTGAAAATCATTGAAAACCATTCCTTATTTATAACTTGAAGTGAAAATTCAGAGATGGTTTTCATGGGCTTTGGTACATTTAGAGTAACCCATTAAAATTATGTAATTGGGGTATTTTCAATGAAAAATACCTAATATTTTGCAGTCACTAAATCTATCAAATAATTATTGCACTAGAATTAAAAAATGGTCTTTCTAAGGTGCAAATTAACCCTTAAACTGAGATTTGTACAGGATACAGGATAATGGTATGTTTTACTTTTATGTTCAAACCACTTAAATTATCTGTGACAGGCCAAATGTAGTGTAAAAAGTAATTAACAAGCAATTAGACACAAGCACAAGTCAAGAAGTCAGCAAAATGACTCAGTAACATTAGTTACACAGCAATATGTAGTTTAAGGTTGCAAACATTAACATTAGCCAGCCTAAGCTGAAAACATTTCAGACCTTCGTGTAAACAATGAAATGTTTTGTGTGTTTTCATTGTTGAATTAAGGATCCATACATGATATTTTAGGGGATACTCATTTCGTAGTGCATGTAGAGAAATCTTGTGCTTTCATTAATTAATTAATACGACACTATTACTATTATATACCAATACTTTTGTATACTTTAACAGCTTTGTGTACAAAACAGTAACAAAGCCGGGTTTGTTAACTTTGCTACCTTGCACTAGACAACTAATTAGGCCTATGTTCAAAGAAGTTGCTTCTGTGTTTGTGTGTGTGTGTGTGAATGTTGATTTAAATTACTGTATCACTGGGGCTTGAACACCTCCTATGAGATTTGGCCGACCTTGCTGACCTCCAGTCTCTCCTCAGTCATGCTAAGTAATTACACCAACAACTTTGTGCATATGTGAGCGTGAGACAGGCAGAACAAGCACCGGCCTGTTTGTGTTTACATGAACTTGGGAAAGTTAAACAGTCTGTGTGATGCATATGAGGTGGACAGTGTGGGTGCTGCAGGTCATTATCCCTGCCTGGTAAGAGCTACACATACACAAACAAAACCCACACGTCCGAGCTTCTCTTTACTCAGCTAATAAAATTAGACATCATATAAAGTCCCTCGTCCTGCAGGCATTTGACTAAATGCTTGTACACTGACAGTGATGCTTACAGCCAATTCTCAGGCTACTGAAGGGAGAACTGTAGCCATCATTTATGATTTCCTCCTCTCTGTTTGGGGACTGATGAATGCTGCACACTGTGGGGATTAGGAAACAATATAATGGCCCATTGCCATGTGGCATAAAAATGCAGCTTATTTCCAGACTGTCCCTAGCTATGATTTGCTGGACTGCATTCCCACCTGTCGTTAAAAAAAGCTTGCATTTACCGTCTTTTTTTCCAAAAACACAAGAAAATGTCAGTTCCTATATTATTATATTTCTGTCCTATTTAATTGACAGTACACACCTCGCTTTGTTTGCTTTGTTGTTTTTGCTCTATCCAAACACCACCCGGCACAGCTCAGTCATTAGCCTTATGCACAATTTAAGAACAAAGGCAGACACCAATTCATTTCTCCTCATGGAGTAATTGAGTGGCGTCTGCTGTGCTGGTCTTGCTATTAAACAGTAATTTGTGTGTTTTAGTCGAGCAGGCAGAAAACAGACTTGAGTGCACTGCTGTCTCACACCCGTCACAAACGCATTGACGTACACACTTTTTAGCACCCGTGGAAATTAATAATAGCCACCACATGTTGTCCAATTATCATCTGGAGACTGCAGCCACAAAGCAAATGGCCTGTACCTCGGCGCGTGTGTGTGTGAGTGTGTGTGTGGATGTGTGGGTTGGGGTGTAAAAGAAGAAAAGCTCAGAAGAGGGGATGAGATTTAATTGGAGGGACAAAGACTATCATATTAATTGGCCTGTAGCAAAAGTGAATAAAGTATTTCATCTACAAACAAAGCACACTGTACATATAGGACTAATGACAGGGTAAATGTAATTTAGGGTCATTTGCACATGTTCACATTGAATGCAGGAGAGTTTATTATTGGGGAGATCACACCAAAACAATCAGGAAATGATTTGAGTTTATTAAAGAGGTTATATTATGCTTCTTTGTGTTTTTTACCTCCTTTATTTAGTTATATACCTTTTTTGTACATGTAATAGGTTTGCAAAGTGAAAAAGCCCAAAGTCCAGACCAAAGGAAGTTCCAATCTCCCACAGAAAACACTGCTGTGAACTGCTTGAAAAATCCCTTCCGAACACTAGCTACCCTCCAGGCAGTCAATGGAAATAAAGTTGTTACTGTGATGTAGAGACAGAGCTCGGTTAAAACTTTATGGATGAAAGATACATTTGTTACAGATTAATAACTCACCGCTCTGAAACTCTTGCTGGTCGGCAACATGTACAGCTGAACTGAAGCCGTGTTTACCGCCCTTCTCTGCTTCTGATTGATTAGTAGTCCTTAGCTAAGAACTCCGTATGTGCAACTCCCAACAAAGATCATATAGAGACAAGATGTATCGCTAGATGATTTGAATTATAGGTGTTTTGTCCGAGAAGAATGAAACTTGGATGAATCCCCTGAGTAGCACCTCATGCAACAAATCTATTGTCACTACAGCCCATCATGGAGCGGATTTCACTTTCAGACACCACTTCGCACATATGCTGTGAGGAAATAAGGCGCTGATCTTGGGGAATCAACTCGTGGCTCCGCTTCAACTGTGCGACAGCCTGACTACGGCCAAACAAAATAACCAAAATCAGAAATTCATCCAACCATCCAATGGCCGTTCGAGAGCAGTTGATAGGTCCTTGCTCCCCCTCTACACTGCATAGCAAACGACATTGTTGAAAAGTCGCAAAATGTACAGCTATGTAGTTTCTAAACATAAGGGGCAATTTATTGGTAAATTGGAAACTACTATAACATTAGTATAAGTAGTCATGCTAGCTCTAACAATTGGTTGGCTTCTTTGAGCAGAAAGGGGGCCTATTTGGCCGAGCAACCAGAGCTGATGCTAATTTAGCCCATAGTGTTGTACTATAACAAGATGTCATGGCTAGTTAGCTGGTGTCTCTCCTTTGCCTCATTCTGTCTTTCTCTGTTGATTCCTGCATCCGTCTGTGTTTGACCTCGGTCCAGAGAGAAGGAAGAAGGAGCAGAGTCAGTGGCCTCACCCTCCCCTCCCGCAGGCCCGGCTGGTATGCTGAGCTAACACTCACCATCCGTTTAGCTCTGATAGCTAAAAGAGAGGCTGAGGCAGGAGGATGGATGTGGGTTAGACTGCTGGTGGCTGACTGGTGCTCGTTTTAGGGGGTGGAAGCTGAGGGATGGTGGTAGTGGTTGTGGGTTGTAAGGACTAGTGTGGTTCCGGATCTCCGGTGTTGCGAGGGAGCATTGAATTTGGCCCAACTATATCAAACCCTGTGGGGTATGTTTCAGTGTATCAGACAATTTAGAAAGCTCATATAATATTACCGATATTAAGCCATGCTTGTGTTGTGTTGTTGCATTGTTTTTTGAGAAATACTATTAGCTTCTTTGGGCTAAGGACATGATCCAACATGGCTGCAAGAGGAGGGGTTAGATCATCTGACAGCCCTCTAAAGGTTGCCGCTGGAGGACAAATCACAGAGAGTGAGTGGAAACTGACAGGCAGACTGCCAATAGTCTCTATTAGCTATAACAAATCCTACTCTAACACGCCGACCTTTTCACTGCACTCACCACTCTCTCCCTTCCCTACCCCTAGATTTTTTATTCTCCAACCCCAGCTGTGACCTGTGAAATGCTTCCTTGTTGGTCTGAGAATAGTAAAAATGTTTCTGTCCTCACCAGCCATAGTTGTTGTAATCCCACTGCGGCCCCCTGAACCCAAACCCGACTTCCAATCGCTTTGCACTATCCCTCTGTCGTTCATCCCTCCATCCTGAGGCATGCACTAATCACTAATCCACCCCTCCAGTCTAAGTGCCCAGTGCTTGTTAGTTGTTGCTGTCCAGCCCCATCCTAACTTGACCCACACACACACACACATACACAGACTCGGCCCCTGAAACATCTGTTCCAGACCAACTAAGCGGGTCATCAACCTCTGGGCTGATGATTCTTGCACAGGGGAGAAAGGGGGGGAAAACAGAGGACGTGCAGATAAATGATGTAACACCAAAGATAGAATCAGATAGAGAGAAAAG